TGACCTTACCAAGTGAATGAGCTTAGAAAGTTCAAATTGCACTGAGTAATGTATTCCTAGAAAAGCACCTGATGCAGCTGTAATTTTTTAACTGTTCCTTACTGACTTGGGTTTAATTCATGAGTAAAAAAAATAAGAACATAGAGGCAGAAGGATAGTCATTGCAAAACACTGCAAGCTTCAGGCATAGCTGTCTTTCACAATGTTATTCTCTATGTACCTCCTGATGCCAGTGGCCCAGCACATCTATCATTCCATCCTTCCAACCTAAGTGGTAACGAGCAGGAGACACACTCAGCAGCAGTATCTGATTAAGTGCATCAGTCAACACAGGTCCAGTTTTAGCTTCATTCTGCACTAGAGTGGTGTGCCTCCACTGTTTGATACGTCACGATTCTGACAGCAGGAATGTCAAAGTTAAACAATCCTTGCAGAGTTGTAAACTTTCTTTCTCTGTGCTTGTTTTTGCTGGGACTTGGCGGTTGCCAGCATGGGCTTGTATGTGATTAAATTGTTGTAATAGTTTCCTGTGTGAACACTCCACACTTGGAAAGCATTTGTGTGATTTAGCTTGGCCTGTTTTAGAAATGCTTATAAAAAGAGCTGGTTTGGTTATCTCTTCAGTTTTAATTTCGCACGCTCACTTTCTTGCATTACAACAGTTTTTCTATTATAGCCTGTGAGTCCTTTTTCTCCCACTGTCAGCATCCAGACTTAGTTTTGTTAGGGCTCTTTATAAGCAGAAACTATCTGTACAAAACTTCCTTGTCTATTTGGGAGAGCTAGTTAGACCAGGGGAAGAGGAATCTCCTTCTGAGTTTGTTTTATAAACAATAAGTTCTCGCAGTAAGTCAGCTGTCAAAGTTTCTCTCTTCGTGAATGAAAGAGGAGATGTCCTTTGTACAATGACTGTTTCAAAAAAGTTTATTGACCTCTTGAAAAACTCACTGCAAAACTGCAGTCAATTTGTTAATACTTAAACTAAAGGCACATCTTAAGACAAAGTGAATATTTTTTTGAAGAATCATAAGGTAGCAAGTTATGAACAGTGTGGAATTTATTTGTCTAGCATCCCTCCTGTTCATGCCTCCTATCTGGAGTTGTAACATTTTGACTGTGAACAACATAGAGTGGTAAAAATGAAAGAGCTCTTTTGCAAAGAGAAAGGAGCTGAGGGTAGAAAGTGAAGACATGAATCAGTACTACTATATTTTGTCTGACAACCTTTGGTGGTAGGGTACATTCTCCTCTTCTGGGAATTTCCAGACATTTTCACCTTGCTTCTTCAAAACCCTGTGTGCCTCCAAAGGTGTTGAAAGCTGACTATGTGTAGTTAGCGCCTTGAGGTCCCCTTGTGTTGCACTGTATACTGCACTCTTCCTTGAGCAAAACTGCAGGAAAACAAAAGAGGAAAAAAACCCTCTGTTATGGAAATCTCACATAATACCCTTAAGAGAGGTGTGTCATGTTAGTTCTTTGATGGAGTTTGGAGCAGGGGAGGGCAGGCAGAAATTAACTGCTTAACAATCAATCAAAATCAAGCAACATGTTGAGAGGATGAGCTGTTCAATGTAAAGAAGAATTTCAGTTTTGTTTGTTTGTTTTTTGTTGTTGTTTTTGTTTTTTTGGTGAGAACATTGATAGTTAAAGATTAGGAAGCTCTTTTTTTGTAGGGATTGGCAAAGTATTTGTCACCTGATGAAATATTAAATTGCTATGCTAAAAGAGGGAGTATAGCTTTTCTTTTTACAGAAACCATGCAGCTTCAACCTATGCCAAAGAAGTTTGTACAATAGTGGTTTTTTTCATATATAGTTGAGTCTTACAGAGAACTTAAAATCTTTCCTTGTAGCTGAAAGTTAAGGGTCCTTTATGTTGTTGTTAGTCAAGCAGGATTTTTTGGGGTAGTTTCAGGGGACATTTTTATTTTTCAGTAAAAACAACTCGGAATTTCTTTTTTAAAAGCAACCCTTTGACAGAAATTTATCAGCCATTTCTAACTAGAAGCTGATGAAATTTTGTCATCTACACCATTTCCTCTGGTTATGCAGTCACATGGCTGGATATCACAAATGACTGTTGGAACTGTACTCATTTGGCTGATTCAGTTTTTCTAACAAAAGCTTCACATCTGCAAATTTTTCTCCCATGACAGCTGGAGATTTCTGAGAACTGCTGCTTGAATTTCATGCAGTTTGTTACCTGAATCTCTTACCAACCTTCTTTTTATTTACTGTTAGACTGTCCTGGGTGTATCTCAGCACTACCTTCACTTCTATTCCTAAGGACTCTAGCACGGTACCTGCCTGTGTTATATCACTTCCTCAGAAATACATTGAAACCCTCAGGATATGAGTACCCTCTTTCTCTCTTCTAGAGAGAAAGAGTTAGTTGTGGAATGTGCTGTGCTCAGCAGTTATGATGGAAGAGCGTGGAGAGACAGGCTTTCTCAGGCAGCCCTGGATGTTACTATGTCTCAGACTTTTCAACACTTCTTGAGTAATTCCTGAACTGGTGGGCTCCTAGTTAATACTTCCATTTCTGGACAACAGGGTGCCTGGGATTTCTCAGCAAATCTGAAATCACTTGTGACACTTTACTGATTTAAAGTAAAAGCAAGGTAAGGTTGTTTAACTTCAAAATTAAAAGCTTAACAGAGACAACTAAAATTTGGAGAGACATAAAAGCAGAAGTATAGCTATACTTTGTAGCTGCCTGTTTGTTAGTGTAGCTCTAAGAGGTTCTCTCTCTATGCTTCATCTGACTGAGAAAGCTGCGAGGAGACTTAACACAGCAGAGATCCAGTCCTTAGATGTCACCTGTCCAGGCCACATACCCTGCACAGGAGGGTATCCACCACTGAGGAGAGAGTTTTGTCTGCAGAATCCTGTGGCTATCTGGCATTAATTTTCACAATTTGAATCTCTTCTGAGACCTTCCTACAGTACAGAACCTCACGCTTAACCAGGACTCCAGTCCTCCCTGAGGTTGCTCGCCATCACCGTCTCTATGACTTTAAACATTTTTAACTCCAGTGCTATCAGCTGCCCAGACAATTAGCAATACTTTTTGCTAGCTGTAAACACAAAGCCTGACAGCTGGCCTGACGTTTATTTGGCCATAAACAAGTCACTTAACCAGAAGTCTGAACAGCTTTTTTGTTCCCGTAGCTGTGGGGAAGGTTTCTCTCAGCACAAACCCCTTAAAAATGGAGATAATGAGAACTGTGCTTCATATAAATAAGAATGCTGAAAACCATGCAAATGTACGAGAGAAACTAATGAATACGGCTCATAAATAACCCCTCATTGAGGTGGGGATTGCTGTAGCTGAACAGAGGTTGAGGGAGACAGCTGGAGTGATGCTGCAGTGTGGGTTAGTGGGGTTAGGATAGAGATCATAGCAACAATAGTTCATTGCTGGTGTGTACAGCACACTTGTGCACTGTGGCTCAGTTCTAAATGTGCAAAGTGGCTGATGCTATTTTGTTTATTAAAGTGGCATATTTCAATTTTACAGAAATGTATTTTGAGTACCAGCACTTCTTCCTCTAGGCATCTTTCAGACTGACCTTAGGCAATCCATTTCTGAAAACCTGAACTTATATGATAAGCCAAGATACTAATCACACTTTACACTGAGAGGTGCACTATACGAATCACTAATAGTCCAATGGTGCCTCATTTTGCAGGTAAGCAAGGTGCCATGATTTGTCTGTCTGCAGCTGGGTCTTTTAAAGGGCAAACAGTGTATTCATGACAAGGCTGTAGCAGATCTACTGATGTGAACAGAAGATTTGGGACCTAGCTGCCGGGTTATCCATTCTTCAAGGGAAGAGTGGTCTGGGTAACTGTTCCTCAACACTTGGTATTGCTGGGAGGAGGAGGTAATAATGCTGGATAACTGTCCTCTGCCATGCAGTAGTGGGGGTGATGCTGGAAAGGCTGGAAGCACTTTGAGGCAGGAGCTGTCTTTCTGGCCTGTGGATATGCTCCATCTGGAATAAGGACATGCTCTTCCATGAGCGAGATGCCAAGGTACTACTGAAATATCTATAGTAGACACAATTGTTCCTGATCCTTCCTAGGACTCAGGAAATTCCTGCACTGTAGAAGTGTCTCTCTGGATTACTCTCTGGAAAAATGCCAGCAGCTGCTGTCGAACTGACATCTCATTTATTTTTTAGGCCTGGAGGTATTTACATCCCTGGTATTTCCCTGGTAACATAGAGAGCTGGCATTCAAAGCCTAGACTGAGTGGAGGGTAATTAGCCCCACTGAGCACAGTGCAAGGTTGCTAGCAACTGTACAGAGCCAAGACTTCTTCCGGAAAAGATTTAAATGCATAGATCCCAAAATTAGAGTGAAAGCAGTAAGTGTCTCGCCTATCAGTCAGGCAGGATGACAGCAGCCAAGGAGCCCATGGCTGCCTGCCCTGCTGGTATTTAGATGACACCTGCTGGTCAAGTATCCCCACTCACTGAAGATATTTTCCACGCACAGAACAAAGGCAGTGTTGGATATGCCGCAGCACTGAGCTTAATGTGCCATTCTGATGAGAAAAAAGGCTGCCTGTGAGGAAAGGATATCTCTTATCTTAAACTATGAACTGGTGTCATTAGAGAATTTAGACCAAACTACCAGGAAAAAACTCCTTGAAATTGGCATCCACTATTCAATTTTTTTTTCTGTCCTTTTTTATTTTTTTTAATGCTTATCTCTACCTAGCAACATAATCCTTGGTCTTTGAAAAATGTTAACCTTTGGATGGATGTTTAATCCATCGGGGAAGATTCAGAACTGTGCTGAGCAGGGCCCTTAGCAGTCTGGTGTCACTTTGGAGTTGGTCTTACAGCAGGTCAGGTAGGTGTAGGCAGGAGTCTTTCTGAATTACATCAATCATCCTGTGATGCTACCATTCTGTCTGCAAGTGTTACAGCCATACACTTCAAATCAAGCTTGAAAATTTGTTCAAGACAGAATTACTTCTTACTCTTCCAGATACCCACAGCTTTTTCGAACAGCAGCAGCTTCAGAGGGAGAGGTGGGAACGAAATCACACGGCTACCAGAAAGGTTTCGCGGCGCTCTGTCAGCAAGGAGCGGTGGGTGGAGACACTTGTGGTTGCAGACAGTAAGATGGTTGAGTACCATGGAAGTGATCACGTGGAGTCATATATCCTCACTATAATGAATATGGTATGTACAACATTTTGAGGCCTTTAGATAGACAAATGAAGCAAACCTGAATTTGATTATATTTCTGATCTCCTTGAAATAGGTCTGTGATGTTGTTCACTGAGAGAAATGTAGTATCATTCATGTATATATTATTGAAAGTCTGTATTTTAAAGTATCTTTAACCTTGTATTTTGTGCAAGCACAATTTTTCACTGGTTTTTAAGTGAGAGAAGTCTCATTGCTATAAATGCTAGCACTGGTTTTCCTTTCACTGCAGTTCTCTATCTCCCATGGAATCTGTTGCTCAGTGATGATTTCAGATTGTTCCCTACAGCAGTAGAGAGCAATTCTGCAGGTTTTAAGCATATGGATTCTTTCCAAATCTGTGGATGAGAAATGCACACAGCAGCCCATAGGTATTTTGGCAAGAGCTAAAAATACAGTTTGTTACTGTACTGGTCACAGATCCCAGCAGCAGTGTAGGAGCTATTATGAAACAAGTTAGCACTATCCCAGTTAAAACCAGTGCAATTGTTTTCCCAGTTAGGTATCCTGCCTAGAGTGCAAAGTTCACATTGGAGAAAAGTTGAACTACATGCTTTCCTGTGTGGTACATTTCAAAATATAATTTGTTCTGGGAAAAGCTGCAACAGTTAACGAGACTACCTACAAATATGTCCTCTGTTATTATCTGTATCAATATTATCTGTATAGTAGATATTGATCTTGAGAGTCTGTTGCGGATATGTCCTATGTGGTTATCATGGCACATGTGTAATATATGCTAAGTTAATCACATTATAATTTTAGCCATGTTAACTGGTCTGTCCCTTATATTTATATAGTGTGTTCCTAGCTGTGTCCGAATGAATCTTACTAGCTGCTGAGGCAGTGAGTCTGATTAAACAGGTACAAAGGTTGTTTGAGCATGTGAGGTTTTGTCCACAGAGGGAAAAAAGCATGTAATAAAACCCAGTCATTATCAGGTTCAGGAACAAACAAATCCCAACATTTTCTCTGCGGTCTCTGACCTTAGATATTAGGGTTACTTAAAATGTTTCAATTTTCTGCATAGAGTACCTTGAAGAAGACCCATATCCAAATCAGGCCTTTGTAAACACGATTTCCACTTTATATTAGTAATTTCTTCTTTAGTGTTCTCCTCCATAATAGTTTTGATCCAAAGGCAATCTGTTTTGTTCATTCGGATTTCCTGTGATAGATGGCATAGGTCACATGCAGATAGGTTGTGAGTATCATTGTTCCACCTGCCTAATTCAACATTGTAAGGATGTTTATGGCAATTGGATCACATTTTTGCCGAGTTCAGTTCTTATACGGTTTTATATGGAGTCTTTTTTTAATGGAGTCATTATCTTGGCTTTTGTTTTTATCATCCTCTCCTGTGCTCTGAAAACACAAGAGTGTTTCTCTTTACTTGTACTGATTAAATTTTGCCTTTTTTTTTTTTTTTTTTTTTTGGTGACAGAATCCAATTCCTGTTGATTTAAAGCAGAACAATTTAATATGCTGGTTTATTTGCACCCTGAGGGGACCTCTCCATCAGCGTTATGTGACTGTAGATGTTGTGTTCTTTGCTGCTAGTGTTTTTTAAGAACTCTTAAGTTTTTGAGGGGTAAATGGACATACTATAATTTTCTGTGAGGTTTTGCTCTTTAGCTTAGTAACTTTTGTATTATCACTTGTTTGGCAAATCTAACCTTTGCAGTAGTTCCAACATTCATTACCTTTCAGTAAACTTTCAGTGAAATGCATTGAGGATTTAAAAAGCAAAACTACACCCCCAGATAAACAGTATACTAGAAGTAAATGTCGTGTTTTCTCTCTAAAGTCATGTTCTGCTATAGAGGAATCAGTTAATCTCATACCTCCTGGCTCTGGCACAGGTCACAGGATTGTTCCACGATCCAAGCATTGGCAATGCAATTCACATTGTACTGGTCCGGCTCATCCTCTTTGAGGAGGAAGAGGTAAGGTTTTTATTTACCTCAAAATATCACTTACAAAACTTTGAGTTCAATGCATTGAGCTGTAATCATATTTGCTTAAGTAATGTGTTAATTTTACTCTGTTAATAACCTTTGACATGTCTGGTTTTAGAATAAAGGCTGCCCTGGATAGCAGTGATGACTTCAGGTATTTCTGCACAGAATTGCCTGGGAAAATATATTTAAAACAGGCAAGTTAGGTATGGGGAAATGGAATACGCCCAGACTAAAAAGAACATAGGATGCCGTGGAAGACTAGATGAGAAACAGAAATTACGCATCAACATTCAGAATCTAATTATCTAACACTACCTGAAATGTACTGTAAAGTGTAGTGCTGGAGTATTTGCAGGTCTCTGAAGAATTAAATCTGTTATTGTGCAGTTCAAAACTGCACAATAAATCTCTTTTGAAGCAAAACATTGAGAACTAAGTAGATGTTAATTGCTATAGGCTAGCTTTATATTGGTAGTTTCCATTGTCTCTCTTTCACAAATATGTTGCTACATGCTTAAACACATGCTGATTGTCATAGTTTTATAATTATTTTTAAAAGACTGTGTATGACATAGCTAGATGTCACTGCAGGAACACCTTAAAGGGATTTTCTCAGTGGCTTATGATTTATAATCATAAGCCAGGTGGTCCCAGTGGTATTGAAGTGGGTAAACCAACCCACAGGGCCAGGCTATGTCTTCAAAAATGGTTATTGGAATAGAGTCTGTCCTTATAGCCATCAGTCATTAGTTAAAAATGTAAGTGTAGATGGCCCAAACCCACTAATTTGCATCTGAACAGGACAATTGGGACCTGAGGTCCATGCTGAGCTCCAACTAATTAACTTGCTAAATTTCTGCGGCTGTTTTGATACACACTGATACTATTCAGTTGAGGATGGCAATGTTGGAGGTAACAGTGTTTGATAGCTTTCAAAATTTGGTTTTAAGGTACCCAGAAATTACTGTCTGTAACAATGTATGCTTAGATGCTTCCTAAAAAAATGACGTGAACTGAGGCAGGATAAAGTGAGTGTCCAAGACCAGAAATCAGAAAATTTATTTTTTAATGAATTTATTTTGTAGACTCTTTATGTCAGAATTTTCAGTCATTTGCATGTAAACTGTATAATAATAAGTTGAGTAAGAAACATTTATGACTGCATTGAATTGAAAAATATTGTGAAATAAATACACGGTCAAGAGCATAGTTGTTCCCTGAGCATGACAGTGTTCACATATCATTTAGGGACAGACTTGAGCATGAAGTCCCTAAGTTATCTTCACCTTCTGTTTAGAGGAAAACTTGATTTCAAGAGAATATAAAATGTTTGAAAGTTTCATTTCAGTGTTGGATCTTATGAAGCTCTCTTACCAAAAAATATGTACATTTCTACATGTAATTTTTCTTTTAGCTGCACCAGTTACAGAAAGGTCAACATTTTAACTTAATATTCAATGTTAGATAAATAGATGTCATTGCTCCTAATGATGGTTCTAACCTTAGGCAAAAACATAATCAATTACAATTCAATGATTACCCATTTTCACAGCTGAGTTCACTGAGACATTACTGCAATGCAGTATGGTCTTTACAATTATATTTTCCTTCATTTCTCATTAGCAAGGCTTGAAGATAGTACACCATGCTGATAAGACATTAGCCAGCTTCTGCAAATGGCAGAAGAGTGTCAATCCGAAGAGTGATGTCAACCCCACGCACCACGATGTGGCCGTCCTCCTCACCAGGTATGACAGCAGTTTGATGTCAGTGACTGACTGTTGTCCAGTTGCATTGGTTTTTTTTGTGATGATACGGTTTTTAGTAAGCTTATGGCATAATTTAGTTCATCCTGCACAGAACTCAGTGAAGTGGTCCAGTGAAGATATGCTGTTCCTGAAACACAGTGGTAACGCAACAGTAGCACAGGGTGAGCGAGTCTGACACTGATACAGCAGAGAATGTGAGCTGTATTATAAAAATGTGGTTGAAATTAGGCCTTCTGTACCTCTTAAAGGGATAATTTTTAATTTGTTTTCAAAATACTGATAACACTATGTTTCCATAGGGGTTAGAGGTGCATCTTAGTCACAAAATTGTGATCTGTATGTCCTGTGAAATGAGCAATTTGCAGAGGTCATTTTCCCTAACTGGTCCTATCTCATTTTGTGCTCAATCACTCCTCTATTCTTCTTTGAGGCAATGTACCAAAACAAAGTAAAACACAGATGAACAACTCCTCAAGTAATGTACAAGTGCAGCTCAGAATGGAAAAGTATTTTGCAAACATTGTGTAATTCATTTTTAAGCTTTAAGATATTTGCTTTTAAAATATCTTCATATATAAGGAGAAACAGAATATTTGTTATGTTTATGAGCAGGGGAGGAATAGAAAACTTAAGATGATGTCTGATGTTACATTGGGAGTTTGTGTCATGGTAAGAAATGGGACTTCTACAGGTCTGTAAAAATAGATTCAGTCTGAACAGAACTGACAGAAAAGATCAGGACTATGGTCTGAAAAAAACAGTCTTGAGTTAAAATCTGTCAGGAAAAAAAAAACAACAAAAAAATCTCAAGTGGTTCAGTAAAAAAAGAGAATCACAGAATCATTTAGATTGGAAAAGATCTTCAAGATTGTCAAGTCCAACTTTTGACTGATCTCCACCTTGTCAGTGTTTTATTTTTGGTCAAAAATTTTAGAATAAGAATGTGAAATAAGATCTCACAAAGATGCATGATTTAGGTCTCCAAATAAAAAGACTTCAAACAGTTCACTTGAATGAAGCTGAAGAATGATGACTTTAATAAACGGTACTTCAAAATGCTGTTAGAGTTGGAGGCCCTAAAACTTTTTCTTATGCGGGTTGACAATAAGTGTATGTGTTTAGACACTGCAGCCACATAAATACTGGCTACAAATTATAGCAGTATAATGATAGTAGTAGAGCAAGTGTATGTTGTTGCATATTTGTTTGTAAAAGTGTTATCACTATGCTCTGCTTAAAATGTGAATTAGCACTGGTACATTACAAGGTGGAGACTTGCCACCCAGTGACAGTGATGCTCCACAGCTGGTGTTAAGCACTTTAAATAACACATCTCTTTTGTGTTTCTAGAAAGGACATTTGTGCTGGCATGAATCGTCCATGTGAAACCTTAGGTTTGTCTCACCTGTCAGGCATGTGTCAGCCTCACAGAAGCTGCAACATCAATGAAGATTCTGGCCTTCCGTTGGCTTTCACTATTGCTCATGAACTTGGACACAGGTATAGCAGACAGTGAAGGAGGGACCTAATTGAGTTTATTGTTTGCATGTTAATACTCAAATTGCCAGATAGAAACAAAACAAGAAGTGAGTTAATGTCTCTACTATTAAAATCAAAACTGTATTTGTTTCTTCAAAGCAAAGGAATAAGAAAGAAATACTTTAGCCTCTGATCTGTATTTACATAAGCAAGTATTCAATCTGCCCCTTTTAACAGTGTCTGTTAGGGCAGTACATCAGGATAAAATAAATAAGCTACAAAAAGCCCAATTTAATCATGCTAATTTTTCCAAACATGGGTTAAATTTCCATGCTATTACTTTAGGTGACCCCCAGATCAACCCAAAACATTTAGAGAATACCTGTTTCATTACGTCAAGGTATTTCAACATTGCAGATTAGCTAGAAAACATTTTTAACTCAAGTGGTCAAATTCATATATTAAATCTTATATTTAGTACTTTTTTTCTCCTTTCTGGTGAACTAATAAAGTTGCTTTTTGGTGTTTCTTAATAAGTGATATCTTCCATATGGTAATATTGCTATTTTAGGTACACTCAGGTCAAGATAACTAAAGTTCCTGAACATTTAGTTTCACATACAGTTAAACATTTTTTTTTTTATGATGGGTTTTTTGCTTGAACCAGATTTCTGAGAATTTTGTATTTCTGGGAGTGTTTTAGTTGGTTAGTTGGCTTATTAACTCACCTGAAAAAATGTTGAGTTTTGAATCTATTTTGACACAGCTGTTTTCCTGGGGGCAAAGCATTATCTCATGGATACTCTGGTTTGACTGTAATGCCTGTGCTTTTTAACTGGACTGTGTTGCTTGGCCACATGTTCATTGCTGTAACTACAGTCACATTAATTTCATTGTGCACCCAGCCACCAATCAGGATGACGCCTGTATTTTCTGATAGGGTGTAATAATTACAATGATGGTAATGACCCTGTCACCCATTAATCGGCCTTTTTTTATTCAACCTCTCCATTTCCAGAAAGGAAATAGTATAGGTAAATAATGCTGAAATCACTGCAATTTGATCTGGGTGCTGTGGACTTAGTTGCTTGGTCCCCACAGCCCTGCTGCTGACAGTGAGCTTTTTTCATTAGCAGTAGTAACCTGAAGACACTTCTTCCCCGTAGATCCATGTGTGACCTTCTCCATGGTCTAGTCTGGGTGGCTGTCAATCCTCTGTCCTTTGGATGCTGTGAGACTGAGCACTGCTATAATCGCCCTTGCAGAATCAATGGAGGGTTTAAGAATTGCCTCCATAAAGGACGTGGAATACCATAGGGTTTATTGTTACCTTGTTAACCTCAAGCCAGGTTAGAGTTCATACACTGAAAAGTTCAGTATGGGTAAAGTCTGTAAGAAGAGATGAAAAAAAAGTAAGACAGATATGCACCCATTCCTTAGATGAATATTGGAAGTCAACTCTTCACTATCCTGTTCCTCTAAATGTTTGCTGCCTCCTGGTTTAACAGACTCTGTTCATGGAAAAGACCCTGTTAGCAAGGGGACGTACCTGCTTTTATGTCTCTGACTCATTAATGGCGTCTATTTTAACTGTAATTGTGCTCTGCTTTTGGAACTTTTGAGTCATGGTATGATTACATTTTCCAGAAACACAGTCTTAAGTGGTTTGAATTCACTTTGTCTAATTTTGTGACTGAATTATGGCCTGAGAAAGTTGTCACTGCTCTTAGGACTTAGACACCTTCGGCTATTTACAGTGTAGGTGTCAATGTCTTCATATGTCAATGTCTTCATATGCTATTATTTCAGATTATCTTCACGCTCAGGTGACATAGAGGCATAGTTGAATAGTTGCATCCATCCAAAGTTTTTTATGTTTATGATTTCTGAAAGCTGTTGAATAAAGAAATTTTTCAGTAAGTCAGAGAAACTGGAGAGAACCTGCTGTGGAAGTCTGTAAGGCACAGGTTGAGAAAGCTAAACAGGAAGATGGAGTAGAGAGTGGAGAGAAATTCACTGAACATTCAATAGTTTTGTAAACAGTATCTGTGTTGCAATCTATCAAAAGTGTTTTAAAAGGAAACAAGCAATAGAGACATGATTATGAGAGAATATAAGACAGAATGTAACAAAACCTGATAATAGTTAAAGTTATGCAAGCTTGCACCAAGATCTAGGAAGTGGTCTTACCCGTAGCAGCTGTAACGTAGCTTTTAGGTTTAAACTGTGGCTCCTGAACCAACTGCACACTAGTGTTTGCACTCCCTTAAAAGTACCTGAGTACAGTCTGTGACAGTCTGTTCTTCTGTTCTTTATTTTGTGCAGAACAATATTGCTGTGCGTAACAGGTATGTTTGATGGCCTGCAGGAGTGTAGATTTCTCATAGTTTTGGGTCATAAGCTCTGTATATTTTTTTTTTTAGCAAACAGTTACCTGCAGCTCAGCAGGGGAAGAAGCAACGTAAGTGTCTCTTAAAACGGAGTGTGGAACCCATAGTTAGGTGTTGTGGTACAACCAATCAGCTGGAGTGATTAGATGTTGTTTTTTATCTCCAGTTTTGGAATCCAGCATGATGGAAAAGAGAATGACTGTGAGCCTGTTGGAAAGCGCCCATATATTATGTCCCGACAGTTGCAATATGATCCCACGCCGCTCACCTGGTCGCAGTGCAGCAAGGAGTACATCACACGTTTCCTAGAGTGAGTGAGCAGGTTGTAGCATTTGCCTGCATTGAGTAAAACTTAGTATGAGATGTTTATGTGGAGTTTAAAGTAAATCTTGTGTTATTATATTGATAAATGGGGGGTGTTTTATTATGATTGAGTTAATTCCCATGGAAGGCACAGCACAAATTCTGTTATAGTCTTGCTGTCTGACAGTGAACTCAGGTCTGCCATATGGGCTCAGGTTTGGTGCAGTCTGCAGCTTTTTGCAGTTACCAAGAGGAAAGAAGCCTTTCCATCAACACTTGACGAAACTTTATAGACTTTGCCTTTGGCCAGAACGACATGTGCTTGGCTTCAATGACTTGTTCAAGTCTGTTACATTCTTTTTAAGAGCAGCAATGTGGTATAACATTAACTAGAGCCTATGGAGTTTTCTGAAGCTACTTTGCAAACCATAATGATCTCATGATATTTCCACTTCGACAAGCTGTATTTTGCCTTTCTAAACTATTCCTTACTAGGTGAGGTAACAAATTTGTTAGCAGCACTTCAGCATAACTTAGCTGGAATTTGGAAGTATTATTTCCAAAGGCCATAAGCAAGATTACCTTTAGAATTAGGTACTGCAAGTCTGTATAGAAGTGTCATAAAAGTGTGGTGGTGGGTTTTTTATTAATACGCAGTTTTTGTCTTTTAGCCGAGGGTGGGGATTCTGTCTTGATGATATCCCCCAAAAAGAAGTTTTAAAGTCCCCAGTCATTGCTCCTGGAGTGATTTATGATGTGCACCACCAATGCCAGCTTCAGTATGGTTCCAATGCTACCTTCTGTGAAGATGTGGACGTAAGTGCTCTGTGTTTTTCTTCATTCTCATAACAAAAATTCAAATTTCTTGAGTGGCATGAAAGTGCAGTCAGTGAACCTCAGCTGCTAGCTATGTATGTATGTATGCAGCGAGTTCAGAATCTCATAGGCTAGGTGTGCTGGGATTGCCTAACACTGTTTTAATTCTGCTCTGCAGATTCTGGAAGTGAGTTTTAGCAATGTTTGCCTTGTATTTCATCTTTACTTGATATGAACCATATCAATCATTAAATGTTTGTCCTTTAGCAGTGGAGTCATTTTGTTTTTAAACTTATGATACTGATCTTTTGTAAGCTATCCATGCAGATTAAATCTCATTTTAAAAAAATTCTTCAACCCTACAGCTTTCAACTCACCAAATCTGGAAACAAATCTTCAGTTCTAGGAAGAGTTTTCTGAAGGAATCAAGATTGCACTCTCTGATTTTTCACACTCTCTATGGTCTAAAAATAAAAGAATATTTTATGAAAAATAATTGTTTTTAAAAAACTTTATTTCCCATTAAACAGTAGATTTTTTTTTTTAACGCAGAAATGCATAGTTACCAAAGTACCCTGGGGTCTATCTCACAAAATAGCAAAACACTGTTGTTTGAAGATGCAAGAGAGTGCTATAGTCACAGCAGTGCAACCCTCACAAGATTTAGGAGCCACTGCAGAGTAACAGGTTATATTAGCTAAGGTGTAGTGGTATGCTATTTTACCTATACCTAGCATATTCAGAGCTCTTTGGGTCTCTACAGCTTTTTCCTTCATAGAACAGTTCAGAAACAGTGTTTTAAAGTGCTAGCCTAGCTAAGAGATCACTAAATTTTGCTACAATGTGCAGCAAATATTGGAGATAGCATCCAACTTGCTCATCCTTTTAAACACAGAAGGGTGCTTTGGCTCTCAGCAGTGCTGGTATGAGCACAGCTGTGGACTGGGCACTGCTCATGTTGACTGTTTATTCCACTCAGATAATTATGTGTATCTTCATCTACGCTTCTATGAGGGAAATTATTTCTGATTAATCTTTTCAACCTTAATAGATAACATGATTACCAGTCTTGAACTGCAACTGCTGAATCTGAAGCAGGTATTGAAAGATTGCTTTCATTACCTGCTGTTCCAGTTTCCTCAGTTACTGTAATTTGTCTGTTGGTACACATGCAAAATTCAGATGTAATTTTGCGGTATTGGTTCAGTCTGTCTCTACTTGGGTTTGAACCTAATAGGTCTTTACATTCAACATCTCCTGATTAACCAATTTTACAGCTAGACATATATCATGAAATTAATTGGTATCATCTCATTTTGTATTTCACTGAGAGGCCTGTATTTTGCTGGCAGCTGCACTGGCAAGAGATGGAATCATGAATAGTACAGTCTACCTGGAATATTGAATCATCAGTATTGTTGATTTGTCTGTGAGGTCTGACTGTTCTTTGCCTTTCCTCTATTTACATAATCTTTCTCACTGACAAGGTTACTTTTTTTCTGTAACTTTTAATGTCTGACTGAGTTTGATCCGCAGGTTCTTTTTGAGAGAAGAATCTGCATTTAGCTGAGGATGCCCTAGGGGTCAGTGATTACACTTAGCAAAAACTGATATTCATAATTCAAATAGTGTTTTCCACAAACCATTTAGGTTCATGGAAAATTCTCTAAGCATCGTCCTGAAGTACATAAATACTGTCCCTCTAATAAGGTAAAGAAAAGGAAAATACGTAGTAGGTGGAGAAATTTGCCAAGCCGTAGGTAGATCCACAGCTAGATAGGTAGCTAGAATGGTCTGTAGGAGCTCAAAATCCTTATCTTAATACCCCCTCTTTATCTCCAACACTTCCACTAACTTCTGTGACACCATATTAGTTTGGATTCAGACCATAACCTGATAGATTGGGTGGAAAGTGTGTATTCATACTGCTGATGAATAGAAAACTTTTGCATCACAGTGAGTCCATGGTAGTCATGGATTTCTGCCTGTTACCTCCAAAGGCACACAGTAAAGGGGGCATTATCTCTTACTGTTGTTATTTCAGTATTCTTAGAGAAAAGTTTTGATTCATGGAGATCAATATGGAAAAATCCTTGCAAAGCTAAAGAATTTCCTCTGTAAACTCTTGACTTTGAAGTCTGTGGGTGCACCTCATAAAAAAGTAACTGCCAGTGGAAAACTGTGTCCAGTTTCTGTGCCAGTTTCTTGGGTATCTGAGGCACAGTGAAAGAGTACACTTTATACATTAAAAACTCAAACCATGTTCTACAAACAGGAGTTAAAGTAAAGGATGAATTTCATAATGAGAGAAAATTCATCATCTGGAACACTTGGGTAGCTCTGGCTTAAGAACCTGACAACAATAGCTTCACAAAAAGTTGGTAATGCCACCTTTGAACTGCAAAACAAAGTTTGACTTGTGTACATTGCCTCAAAACAGCTAAGAGAGCCAGGATTCAGTGCCCCAGACATTGTCTTCCACCTGGAGATTTGGAGTGCTTAGAGATGTTCTGGGCTGTCGACTTCTTTTCTGGTGCTCTAGGTGATAAACAAGGTGAATACACAATGGAGAAAGTAAATAAAAGGCAACCCTCTGAAAGCAGTCTGCGCCCAAACTTAGCTATTTTAAATAGAAGCCAGTCAGAAATTAGCAACCAAGTTTTGCATTTCCCACTTGGCCAAACATTTCTGCTGGCTTGCTGGGCTGCATTTTTGCAAGTGCCCAGTTTATATGTTGGCTCACAAATTTGGCATGAGGCTTGATCTGAGAATCCCAAGGGGAGCTGCTAATGGAATCCTTCTTATCAACTCTGATAAGATTTTCTCTAATGACATTTACAGGTGCCCCTGCTTCACAGGTTTGTGCTGTCAGCTCTGTTCCCTCCTCCAGTCCAAATAGTCTCAGTCAAGACCTGGCCCAGAGCCCCTGGGATTTTGCTTCTGTTGTTTCAGTCTCCCTGAGAGCCCTGGTTTCTCTAGCTTGGAAGTGGTATTTCAGACAAAACCCCTGATCATTCAGGAATTCCTAAGCATGGAGGGCTCCTGTGTGTCAAATGAGAGAAGCTGGAATGCGTGTTAGCTGAGGAGGGAGGAATAGCCCTTGTTGTCTATCCTTACTCTCTAGACAATAGTTCTGATTGAGTGCAGCTGATTTGATATAGGGTAGATGTAATGTTTCTTGCCCTGCTTGTTTTGTTGACTCAGGAGTTTCTGTCTCTTCTGTGGAGCTGACCACTGCACGTGGAGCAGCAGCTGGAATCCTGTGCTTTATTGGCAATCGACTGCATAGAACTGGCACCAGCTTCTGAGTTGCTTAATATGCAAGCATCCACTAACCTGAGCCCTTACTCTACACAACTCACTATGTTTTTTTCTCTGCCAGCTAGCCTGGACTGCCTTGTTTTAGATAATTTCCCTGCCGTCTGCATAGCTGATGTTTTAAGAGACTTGATCACTTTTTGCTCATCTGGTTTTGGGACCTCCGTTAGTATTAACTGTCTGTTGTACTTGGAAACGTGATGTTGTTTGTACTTACCTGGCTGGCTTCTGTAACCTTCTTTGATTTTGCTATCTGTTTTCAGGCAGACAGCAATGCAGAATTGAACATGGTATTCATTAGTACTCATCAAATGAAAATAGTACAATTTTCTGTTCACCTGAGCTATAAAAAATAGTGGCCACAGTTTGTTAAGCCATTGCTGTTAGCAGCTGGGAGCTGAACAGCCAGTGAGGAGAATATTTGTACTTACATAGTTCAGAGAATGCATTTGATAGTATTTACCATTTTTGATTTGTTGAATAGTCCCTCCTTGTACAGTAAGGACAAGTACCTAAATTTGGACTCTTGGTGGGTCCTAACTTGTGGAAAGCCCCAAACATTTTCCTCTGGAAATACAATACTTAGAAGGATTTGTAAACAGATGTAAAAAAGTGTAGGAGACTTTTGAAAATGTTGGCCTGCTTCATACTTTCTTTTGTTTTCAGAACCTTTGCCAAACACTCTGGTGCTCAGTGAAAGGCTCCTGCCGCTCCAAACTGGATGCAGCTGCAGATGGCACTCGGTGTGGAGAAAACAAGGTGACTGTGAACCACGCTGCTGGCAAGCTGTGCTGCCTGCAAAAGGGCAGCTGAGGAGTCATGAATAGCTCTGCCATTGTTCAAAGTGAAAGAAGGTCATTCTGTGACATCTCCATTTATATATCCACTTAAGTGTTCAACCTTCAGAATCAAAATAACAAGTAATTCACAGTAACATTTCCTGTGGTAATGATCTTAAGCCACCTGTGCTTTCTCTTCTGTCCTCAGTGGTGCTTCTCTGGTGAGTGTATTACAGTAGGCAAGACTCCTGAAGTAATCCATGGCGGATGGGGGATTTGGTCATCATGGTCCCATTGCACAAGGACATGTGGGGCAGGAGTTCAAAGCGCAGAGAGACTGTGCGATAACCCAGAGTAAGCTGAGTGCATAATCTTTTCTTACCTTTTTTTCCAAGATCTTTCAGGTGCTTACGACAGTGTAAGCTCTTTTGTGTGAAACTGTTACCAGCAGGTGCCAAACCAACAGACTTCATGAGACCTCTCCTTCCAAGTTAAGCATACCTGTGTGAAATTCAGCTGGCTCATCTTTGGCAATAGTCCTCTTGTTCTCTAATCCTTACCCTTCATGGACATTATTTCTACACAAAGTGGAAACCCCCCAACCCTGTTGTTTAGTGTTCAGACTTTGCAGAAATTATAGAAATACTACTTTATATAAATACTACTTTATTAATACTGCAGTGAATAAATAAATGTCCTCAGGAACCAGCTGAGAACAATATCTAGCAATCTGACCCATAGAACTCATTTTGCATGTTCTGTTTTAGTCATCAGCTTTGTTTGAGCTTCAGATACGTGAGTTGTCAGGTACAGAACATGAAAGGCAGAATTACCTAGTACAGAATTAGTTAATGGCTCTACATCTCATTTTCAGAAATTACTAAAAGGGTGCCTAACAGCAGAATTAATTTGTCTTTTCTGAGTGAACTGTTAAATGTTCTGGAAAGTATGGGATTTTAGAGGGGGTTCCTTTGATAAGGTAATTTATTGTGAGGTCAGCCATGTAGTACCAAACACTACTTTGAGATACATAGATTTTTGTGCTCCATACTGATATGTTTGAGTAATTGAGTAAACATGTGAACGGTATCTCTAGCTTGTCAAGGATTCAGATTCACCTTGTTCTGCCTCTGGAACCTGAAATACATTTCTTCATTTAAAATTATTTTTTTACACACAGTATTATGCTCCAATCTCATTGTTCCTCTTTTAGACCACAGTTTGGAGGGGACTACTGCACTGGAGAAAGGAAACGCTATCGCATGTGTAACATCAGCCCGTGTCGCAAAGACTTGCCAACCTTCCGTCAGATGCAATGCAGTGAATTTGACACAGTTCCCTACCAGAATGAGTTCTACCACTGGGTCCCTGTTTATAACACAGGTACAAAGCTACAAATGTTTTTTAATGTTTTAAATAAAAAGCCAAATTACAGACCCATGAGAAACCATTTTCAGGGCAAGAGGTCACTGAACTGTATGTCTTTTAGTTAATTAGAGAGAAAAATCTAGTGTGCCTCCATGTGCAATTGTGCTCTTTGTTTGCACACAAAGGCAGTGGTTCTCTACACATAGGTGTTCTTTCAGAGCTCTGGTGATAATGGCTGTGATTGGAACTAGTCCAGTTCCTGGTAAAAAGAACTGAGCACTAAGAAAAGCTGTTGAAGTCATGTCTGTGCTCATTGTTTGTGGTAGGCCTAAGCCATCTTTTCAAACTCAGATCTGCATGGTAAGTGTACCTGGCACCACACTGAAAAAGTAGTATCTCAGCAGGTTCAATATCATGCTGCTCTGTATTGTAGAGACAGAGTTGATGACTCTGCCTTATAACTTGCTTTGTAACAGCTAGTTATTATATGCAGTATAGTATAGATGCAGTTTGATTCTTGATGTGTGCATAAATGTAAGGTGTAGATTATCCTGTAGAGGCACTGTATAAAGTAGAATTGTTAGGGTTGAAATGGACCTCTGGAGCTCATCCAGTCCAACCCTGCTGCCAAGGCAGGGTTACCAGGCACACTTCCAGGTGGGGTTTGAATGTCTCCAAAGAGATACTCCTGGACATTCCTATTCCTATTTCTATTCCTATTTTCTATTCCTATTTCTATTCCTATTTCTATTCGTATTCCTATTTCCTTATTCCTATTCATATTCCAGGGCTGTGCCACCTTTAACCTAAAGAGGTTGAGGTGAGACTTCTTGTGTTTTAGTTTTTGGCCATTGCTCCTTGTCCTGTTGCTGGGCACCACTGATACCATCCTCTTGGCACCTGCCTCTGAAGTATCTATATGAATTAATGAGATCCCCTCTCAGTCTTCTCTAGGCTAAACAGGCCCAGCTCCTGCAGTCTCTCCTCGTAAGAGAGATGCTCGAGACACTTTATCATCTCTGTGGCCTCCACTGGCCTCTCTCCAGTAGTTCCTTGTCTTTCTGTCACTGAGGAGCCCAGAACTGGACTCAGTACTCCAAATGTGGCCTCACTAGGGCCAAGTAGGAAGGAGAGGATCACCTCCCTGGACCTGCTGGCCACACACTTCCCAGTGCACCCCAGGATACCACTGGCCCTCCTGGTGGCAAAGCCACACTTGCTGGCTCATGGTCAACTTGCCATAGCCACCAAGAGTCCCAGGTCCTTCTCTGCAGAGCTGCTCTGCAGACCCTGACCTGTGCTGGTACTTGGGGTTATTCCTACCCAAGTGCAGGACTCTACACTTGCCCTTGTTGAACTTCGTTAGGGTTTTCCCCCACCCAGCTTTTCAGCCTACAGAGGCCCCACTGAATGGCAGCACAGCCTTCAGGTATAGTAGTCACTCCCCCCTCTAGCATCATATCATCACCAAACTTGCTAGCAATGTATTTTTTTATGAAAAAAATAAGCCGGTTAAGGTAATGAAGATCAAGGGTGAAGTTCCCATTTCATTTGCCAGGATGTTCATTGCAATTTCAGTTATTGGGAGTTCTGAATTGCTTTCCTAGATTTCAGCTACTCTTTCAGTTTCATCTAAAAAATTTTAGATGAACCCAGAGCAGACAAACTTCCAGGAAAATTTCTAATGAAAGAAAATATGGTTGATACAAAAAGGTTTTTGTTTTTTTATTGAATGACTCCCAATAAAACACTGGCAAATGATAACAGCCTAAGGTTTACGCCAAAACCAAACTCTTAAAACATTTTCTTCAGTCACCTGCCATTGCAATTAGGATTCCAGACCTCTGTTAATCAGGGTGTACCACTGCAGGGTGCAACCTTGGCTCTATTCATGTCCTCTCTTGAACAGAGGTATAGAAGTGGTAGTTCTGCATGTGCATTTGTTGCAGAAGATCTGTTTTTAAAGGGCTTTAAAAATCATGAAACAAATGCTTCCTGCACACTGTAAGGCATAGCATTTTATAAATGCTTCCTGCTAAGCCTGATATATTTCATCTGGAACATCCTTTGCAAAATCCTTCAAGTACCAAGGAAAAATCTTTTTCAGTAGCTGAAAAAGCTTTTTGACTGTTTTCACCCTTTTTCTCAGCAGCCAGAATTTCAGCCTAGAGTTACATCTCCTCTCCATTATCTGTGAGGTCCTTAATATTTGCACTTTCAGTCTTACATTCTATTAACAGCATTTGAAGTGTTTTCTTGCTGCTGAACTCCAAACTTAAAATAATACTGGCTTCCTCAGAGAGGCAGACTCTTCTAGTAACAGTTGTATAAGCAGAGAATTGGACAAGTTCTGTGCTGGTCCTTCATCTGACCTCATCCTTGTATAGCTGAGGGTGAGTGGTTCTTTCCCCCACAGAAGCAAGGTGGTTTTGAGACTTACTCACAATGTCCACCATGTTGTGAGTACACCAACCATTGTCAGTATATACCAGCTTCCCTTACTTTTTCCCTTTACTTGTGCAATCCAATATTAAAGACCTTTAATGGCATTCTGTTAATACTTTAGCTTGCTGCCAGGAAGGTTTTGGTTAGTCCTGGCTGGACACCAGATACCCACTGTGTCACTCCCTTCGTTGGCTGGACAGGGAAGAGAGAATATAATAAAAGACTTATTGGTCAAGATAAGAGCAAGGAGAGATCACTCACTAGTTACCATCATGGGCAAAACAGGCTCGACTTGGGGAAATTATTACCAATCAAGTCAGAGAAGGGTAATAAGAAATAAAAACCAAACTCTAAAACACCTTCCACCCACTCCTCCCTTCTTCCCAGGCTTAACTCGACTCTTAATTTTGTCTACCTCCTCCCCTGCAGCAGTGCAGTGGAATGGGGACTGTGGACAGCTCTTCACACATTGTCTCTGCTGCTTCCTTCTTCCTCCTGCTGTTCCTCTGTTCTATCAGAGACAATATTCCTTGAACCTCTCCAATATGAGTCCTTCCCATGGGCTGCTGTTCTTCAAACTGCTCCAGCATGAGTCCCTTCCATAAGTTTCAGTCCATTAGGAACAGGCTGCTCCAGCACAGGTTCCCTACAGGGTCACAAGTCCTGCCAGCAAAGCTGCTCCAATGTGGGCTCTTCTCTCCATGAGCCACCGGTCATGCCAGGAGCCTGCCCCAGCACGGGCTTCCCATGGGGTCACAGCCTCCTTGGGGCACATCCGCCTGCTCCAGTGGGGGGTCCTCCATGGAATGCAGGTGGATCTCTGTTCCTCCCTGGACCTCCAGGGACTGCAGGGGCACAACTGCCTCACCATGCTCTGCACCGCACACTGCCATGGAACTTCAGTTCTGACAGCTGGAGCACCTTCTCCCCCTCCTCCTTCACTGACCTTGGTGCCTGCAGAGCTGTTCCTCTCACACATTCTCACTCCTCTCTCCTGACAGCAGTTGTGCAGCAGGTTTTTTTCCTCTTTCTTAAATATATTATCCCAGAAGTGCTGCTACCCTTGCTGGTGGGTTTGGCCATGACCAGCATCAGGACCATCTTGGATCTCTCTGGCGTTGGCTCTGTCGGACATGGGGGAAGCTTCTGGCAGCTGCTTACAGAACCCTCCCCTGTAGCCCACCCCCTCTTACAAAATCTTGCCACTCAAACTCAGTATAGCTTCTGTTTTAGTGTCAGTCATTTTAAATCCTGTCAAGAAGGGGAAAAGAAAAGTGAGCTTTCCTAAACCCTGAATGCACATACAGATTTTGTGTGGATGTGTCAAGCTGAGGAGATGAATTCCTGAGCTAGACATTCTGTGACATTTTAAACATTCTGTGTTCCTTCATCTTGCAGGAAAAAACAGTAAATTATCTGGATGGTCACAACTCTGTCTCCTGGCTTTAATTTCATAGCTTACATAAAGCAATTATAGTGAATGTCACATAACTAAACAGTCTTTTCTGTTGTGTGAATTGTACCTTCACTAGAGGACAAAAACTGTTTTTGAATAGCTTATGATTTAATATACAATGAGATGCAACAAACAGCTTTAAAAAGCAGCCTGGCAGAGAAGCAGTAAATGGTATCTTGCTGTTACCTAGGCTACCTGTGTTTAGGTTCTAGTTCAGAATTTTCTGTTTTAAATGACTTTGTGCCGGTTGGGAAACTCACATAGTCCTTTTATGGAGTTGCCCTGGACCGCAGAAACACACGTGCTCAACTGGAGCCTCTGAGTATCCCTGGGAGCCTGAAAATGATGGGGACTTTCAAGTTCAAGGGTGACTAAACTGTCCAGCAGCTTTAAGCAGGATATTTGCTGAATTTTTTTCACAATCCAAGCCCCTGTTCTGTCAGTTTAGTCAGACTTTGGGGTTAGTCTACTTCTCTTGCCATCAGGCTGACCCCACATTTATTTATTTCGTACCATTTGACAAATTCCATTTATAAGAATCTGATAGCTTAACTTCCACATACAAGACCCTGTAACTAACTTTATTATCATGTAACTTCAGTATCCTGTAACCACCTTTATTTTCTCAGTTGGTGCCAAGATCATTTCATGTACTGTCAGATAGGGGTTGTGTTGTTAAACTGTTTTAAATTTTGTATTTATTTCAAAATATGTCTGTCTGTGAAGTAAGATCTGTTCTCATACAGTCACAGGGGCTGAGCTAACAACATGAAATAATGTTTCTATTGCCACTGTTTTAAAATAAAGAAGTTTCTTTTGGAGTTCCAAACTTGGTTAAACTGGTCAAGTAGCTTCACCTGAACTTTTTTTCCCCCCATTTTGTCTGTGTTTGGTAATTGTCTTTTCTAATTTTCTTTGGTTTGGATTTGCACAGCCAGTTGTGAGTTTTCGTAGAGGTGAGGGTTTGAAGAGAAGAGGCTCACCTCTATTCTTCCTTGTGAAGTAGGGAAAAACATTGAAGCCTTATCTTCTGGTGACAGACACATTAATTACATCCTTCTTAGTCAGGTTAAGCTGGATCCTTCCTGCATGGGAACTCATGGGAGTCAGCTACGAGGTAAACAAATTTAAAATGGGAAGGAAATACGTTCCTTTCTAGTTATCTTCATGTTGTTCTGTTTGCACATGGTGAATCTGAACTTTGTTATAGTATAGATAGGGGGGGAAAAATCACATGCCAGCTTTGCTGGCTTGCTTCCCCAGTCTCATTCTGATTACAGATAAGTCACTGGGCACTTATGAGAACTCTGTGATTTGGGATTCCATTACATCTGTGTTTCTCCTTTATACTAGATTGATCTCTCACGTAAAAGAATAGATGGAATTTTTCTAGGCTGCTAAGTTTTGGTGGCACCTCAGCTGAAATCTGATGTCCAGATAGGAGCAGTACTGGCTGAAGGATGCAGCCAGCTGGAGGAGGTTTACAGGAGAGCAAAATGGAAGTCAGAGAGTCACTGAGGGACTTTTTTTAAGGATAAGATGTAGAGACAGGACAAAGGGAATGGCTTTAAACTGACAGAGGGCAGGTTTAGGTTAGATATAAGGAAGAAAATCTTCACTGTGAAGGTGGTGAGGCTCTAGAACAGGTTGCCCAGAGAAGTTGTGGATACCCCATCCTTCTTCAAGGCCAGATTTGATGGGGCTTTGAACAATGTGGTCTAGTGGAAGTTGTCCCTGCCCATGGCAGAAGGGATGGATGATCTTTAAGGTCTTTTCCAACTCAAAGCGTTCAGCAGTTCTGTGATTAGAAAAACATAGATTGAGAGAAGCAAGTTTTACTCTGGAAAGGAGGACAAGGAGACAGCTAAATGCCAACTATTCAAGGAAACTTTTAAAGAGTATTTAGCAGGCATAAGCCTGAGTAGTAGAGATACAAGGCTAGCAAGATTGCACATCTCTGTGCAGTGTTGTACTCAAGTCTGGAAGAAGTTCGTGAGGTCCAAGCAGTTCTGTGACCTTGTTAACTGACTTCACAAAGCTGGTCTTACTCTGGTCTTAACAACTCAGTTTGAATGTAGCTCTTCTGCTTTTAAACTTGGATTTGACTTCAAGTTTTCTGTCACTGTGCTTCATACTTCAACTTTTCATCCCCTCCACTCAAACAGTACAGGAAACCCCAGAGAGAGACAGATCCAGCAGTTCTTCCCATCTGTGAAAGGTATGACAAGCAGAAATGGCCAAAACAGTAGCAGGGAACTTTAGGTTACACATTCAGAAATCTTCACTGCCGTATGGGTGGTTAAGTGTTAAAAGCAATTACCTGTAGGGCTTGAGGAATTAATGTTATTGTTCTAGACAGGAATACAATCTAAGCAGGAGTAGTCTAAGTGGTTTTGATTCTGCTTTGGTGTGGAAGGATGGATAAAATTCTCTGGGTTTTATGCAAGGAGAAATCAGCTCTGTTTGAACAGGAATTCGGTGTACTTTCTTTGAACAAGGACTTTGTGAATATGGTCATTACTAAGTGTTCACAGATTGGATCTAGTATTTCATGCATATGCTGTATTGCAAGAATTTATGTATATTTTGGCCTAAAAGTTACAAAGATGACAGCATTTTTGTTAAAGTCTCAGCATGAATTAGTAATTTGCTGAAGTAGTTGAAACTTAACCAGCTGCTTTAATGAGGTCCTTCTAACAACCCTGGTGTTCATATTCATCTCAGTTTAGACTTTTCAGGACTGAAATAAAAAAAGAGTCTGAATTCAATGCCAGTCTTCCATCATTTCAGCAAATGTATCTGTTTACATATCAGGAAATGTATTTGTTTTCCTTGTGTGTGAGTTTGCTTTCTGAAAATAGATGAAAGACCTTTCTACATTTTTATCTGTTCTGGGTTTAAAACATCAGACTTTTGGAGAACAGTGACTGATTCTGTTACAGTCAATTTATAGTCCTGGAATAATAGAGCCAAGGTCCCTGACTTCAACCATAATAAATAATAACGATAGATAAGGAAATAATACTAGAAAATGAAAGGCAAATACAGTGCTAGTATAATTAGGTGCCGTAACCAGCCTTTCTGCAGGTGAAAAATCAAATAAATACTAGATAGAACTAAGTTTGTGTGGAGGGAGAAATGCCCTCTCATTTCCAGTGAGGCTTAGTAGAAAAAGTATAGAAAGAATAGCAATGCAAAATTTGTGGGTAGGATCTATTTCAGTTCAGCTACTTCAGTTAGGAAAACCAGTGAAGACTTCATGTCTGGAAAACCTATACAAGTCTGAAATTTTGTGTGTTAGTTGTTTTTACTTTTTATTTCGACTTTTTATTTTGACTTAGTAGGGGAGTTATCTCTCTCTCCAAACTGATTTTGAGTTATAGATTTACGGCATCATAGTTATGATAAGAATATATCAGCAGTCAGCACTGTCTGCTGCTTCTTGATTAGTGATTTCTGAAATTAAATTTCTTGTTACATCAACACACAACTGGGGAAGAAGTACAGATATCAAACTGCTGCTCTACATACTGCATTACAAACAATGTAAAAGCTGAAATGAGTTTCTGTAAATTATGTGTCGGTCAGGGGCGATTCTGAGCAGGTAACAGAGTACCTGGAATTTTGGGATTCTTCTTGTCCTAAGGGTGTTTTTCTTCCTTTTTAAAAAATGCTTCATTGAGAAGGTAGGCAAGGTGAAACAAAATTAAGAGCACTAAAGCAATCAAAATATGGCCAGAAAAAGATTTCTGCAGACAGAAGTAAAATTACTTGTATCACTTATCATGACAGCTCTTATCAAAACAGCTGACGGATAGATGTTATGGCTGGCCATTTTCAAAGAGGGGCTGAGAGGTGGTAAGGGCCACAAACTTTATGTTCTTGCTTGAGAATCTTTTGTAGCTCCATTTCCATCAATATTCTTGAACACAACTCACATTGCCTTGAATTCCACAAGCTGTATAACCTTGGTCCATGCAACTCCTCCAGATCTGATCACTCTGTTTTACTTTACAGAGGCATTTTTATTTGAGAAGCCACAAGCACAACACTGTTGACAATCCTAAGATGCCATTTTAGCTCTACTGACAAGAGGGAAAAAACAAAAGTCCTCATTAGGGTTTTGGATTTCCTTTACTGTCCTTTCATTATTTTTTTTAATCCCAGTTTTGCAGAGGTTTTGTTTACATGAATGAGGTTCATAATAAAAAACTCAGGCTCCTTAGGATTCAGTTCTTAACCTTCAAGCCCTTTGAGGGCAGGAGGTGCAGTCACCTTTGTGTAATGTGTGGTGTTATAAGTATGTTGGTGCTGCATAGACCAGTGCAATGAGAGCAAATTTTCCTCCACCGAAAGAATAAATCCTTTTGTAGCAAGTTATTTCATTTATTTTCATTACCAGAAGTTTCAGTTTCTCTCATTACTAAAAATTTCTTAAAACATTGTTCTTTGTATGACACAAATGAGGCCAACAAAGGAGGAAGAAAGAAATTCATCAGCCACTACATGGAAGTTGCCTTGCATCCCCCTAAGACCAAGGGAATGGCTTCTGTCAACTCTATCATACAAAGGATAAAGCTGTCACTCACCAGTGGCTCCTCTGCAGCACACAGGGACACTGTTTTAAAATTACTCAATAATGGTGCCTTCAAGTACCTACTGACTGCTGGTTTTAAGGCCCATTGCTTTTCCCAGCAAAGCATTTCAGCTTGCTGAGCATGAACAATTTGCTTTAGCACCAGGATAGACTGGGGTCTTGGAGAGATCAAAACTAAAAGGCAGGTCCTCTGTTGCTACCCTTCATCAATTTTTAATGTAAGTCTGGTTCAGCTGGAGAGTTTTCAGGGAGTGGATATAAGGGGTTTTATCTCTCTTTGCTCTGTCCTAGCTTCAGCTCTAACTCATCTTCCATGTACACAACTTATTTGTCAAACTTGACTCTCTGATGTCTGAGTTTCAAAATTTCCCGTTCCCAAGAGCCAGTGTCTGTGAGGCAGGGCGGTGTGTGTTTGGCTCTTACTCCGTAAATGGAATAGACTAGGGCTCTGATCTGTCACAGAAAGTTTTGTTTCAGAGACCACTGGTTGCTTTTACTGCAGCTTTTCTCCTCCCTGTTACTTCTGTGGACATTTATACAAGAACAGCCTGGGTCTGTTAGACTCAACAGTATTATCCCTATTTCATAAGTTGCCAAGCAGGAAAAAAACCCTGTGCTTGAAATTATTTGTTAAGTACCAGAGATAGGTGAAAATGATCAGTGATGTGCAGCAGATCAGAAGCAACCATTTGACTGCTCTCTGAGAGAGGCTGACAGGAGTGATGAAAAGTTTATATTATCTCTGAAATTACTTAGTCATCAGTTGATGGAAAACTCTTTCCTGTCAGTGTCCTTGGCATTCCCACCCCCCCAGTAATGACAGGTGGCTTTGCTGGTTTCCCCTCCCTTTCTCCATCACAGCTGACAGGCTCATTACTGCTTAACTCAGGAGTGATGAAGAGCGTGCAGGTATGAGGGTACCTGCCTCCAGCTGCTTCCTACAAATACACAGGTGGTATTTATCAGGCCTGTGTCACTCTTAATAATATGACCTGGCTCTGCTCACTTCTTCTAGTTAGATCAGTTCTGCCAAATGCCAGAGAAAGTGAGCAGATGGTTCAGTGAAGACATACTGTCAGTCCCTGTTCAGTGAAATGTCCTGAAGTATTGTCTGAGAAAGTATCTTTGTTTTCCTTTCAGCAAACCCCTGTGAGCTCCACTGTCGCCCAGTAGATGGCCATTTTTCAGAGAAGATGCTTGATGCAGTCACTGACGGTACTCCTTGCTTTGAAGGAAGGCACAGCCGAGATATCTGTATTAATGGCATGTGTAAGGTATTGGGTATGTTTGCATGTTTCTTTCTCTACAACTTGATTTTACAAAGTGATAGGAAAATGCTTAACAGTTCTTTTTGCAGGATCAAGGCCATTTTGTCACATTTTTAATGACCATGAAAGCAAATTTAAAGAAATAACTTTCCAAGTAGACATAAGAGTCGTTTCCACACCTTTTAATGTGTGCTAATTACTTTTGGTACCTTTTAGTTCCTCTCTTCTTTTCCATTACTTTAAAACATCAATGTAAAAAAATCTGTTCTTTCTGATGAGATGTTTTCACAAAGGGTTGTAGCTTTAGGGTTTTAATTGGTTCCAGCATTGTCCATGGGTTTTTTATGAAAATGCAGTAGCGTGTAGCTACACATGTAGCAGTTCTGAATCCTCTTGTTGTAACCTTGTTACACAACTGCTTTAGTTTACATCGTCATATTGAATAACACTGTACAATGAGATAACAGGCAAACAGAATATATGGCTTAGTAATGTTCTGTGTATTGAAGAGTAAGTATAATGAACTCTGCATATTCTGCATGTTGGTGGTAGGTTTGTTTCCAGGATGATGTGTGTGTGTGTGGCATCTGAACATCTGTACATTCTGTAACATCCACAGTCTTAGCACTGGTTTTAGTGAATTTCTTATAAATAAAGTGCTTTACTTGTACTATTTACTAAATAAAGAGTACTTTACTTGTAGGGAACGTATTTACAACTATGGTTTATTTCTTTAAATTGAGTTTTTGTGTCTTCTACCTCCTTGAAGCCTGATAGCTTTTTTGCTTTTAACATCTTTGGAAACAAAACCAGGACTTAGTAGCTTGTGGAAACTGCATTAGCCTGTCTAATCTGACGAGTGTATGTCCTAAGCCATTGAATCATATAAAAATGCAACTGAAAGGAATTTCAAGAAGTCATTTGTTTTATCCCTTTGCAACTTGTATTTCTATTTGACATTTTTCTCGTTCTTTACTTAAAGACTTCCAGTGATGGAAACTTCACATTTTTAATAGGTGTTTCATATACCCTCCTTTTAAATTATTTATTTTAGTAGAATGACAGGCCTCAGAGAGCAGTCATAAAGGATTTGGTTTAAGCTTTCCTGGCAAGACCTGCTTTGTGAAAGGGAATTACCAAGACCCTGCTAAAGTCCATGCTGAAGAGAACTGCTCAGCTTACTTTGCTGAGAGCCAGAATGGGCCTTTGAACCATGATGGTGAAAGATCTGATCTGGCTTTGAGCAGTTCAAGCCAGAATGAATCCAATCTTTAGCATTTTGAAACATGTAGTAAATCTTGCTTACCATATCAGTGCTTCTGACCTTCACTTGGAGGAGACCAGTTGCTAAACTCAGAAGATTGTCTTTGTGATATGTTCATTTTCTGATTTCCAGCTTAGTTAGACTGGGATCACTATTATTAATTTTAGTTTTCTTATGCTTTCTGTATTGAGCTTTGCCTGTGACATTTAAAATGTATACATACTTTAGAAATAACAAAATTAATTCATTAGAATTGATAGATCAAGAGTGAAAGGGAAGCTAATCTAATTGCAGTTTATAGATCCAAGATATACTTTAGCATTAACATTTCTGTGGACTTTAAGGGTTTCTGAAAAATTCCCTCCAAGGTACTGGTTTTGTCAGCGTTTCACAAGCTGACTGCTGCTTCACATCTCCTGACAAACAGATTTAATTGGAATCAGGATCACAAAATAAATAATATAACCACACAACTATCACAAATGAGACCAAATGATGAATAGGTAACCCAAAGAGCTCATATTATTGAAAGCTATCTGAAATGGGTACCCAGCTTAACACTTGAGAAGAAGCTTTTTCATGTATCCTCAGGTAATTCACTAGTATTTTAGACCAGCTAGTTAAACACAATACATACAGTGCAGATCACGGAGAATTAGTTTATTATAATTAGTCTGGTACATCATTCTTGTTCTCTGATTGCAGAATGTTGCTAATGATGTGGAAAAGGCATTCACAAACATTAGTCTATTAAAGTGCTGTTCTGGTTTTCAAAACTATATCTCAAAAAACTGCTTCACATTTGTTCTGAGTACTAAAATAACACTTCATTTTGGTCTGAAATTGAGCAAAAAATTAAATTGGTGAGATGTTAGTTCCATTGTCTATATTTCTCACATGTATTTGATGTAGAGTAGCTACTTTTTATCAACCGAGTTCAGAGTTTTTCTAGTGGGTATATCAAAGAGAGGTAGGTAGAATCATATTCAATTGAGAATTTAATCTTTTAAGTCCATCTGATTTCAGCCTGATTTTTGCAGTTTACTATGATTTTGTTTAGAGCAATTAGACAAACTGGTATTACTTTGATGGCTAAATGTGGTTTGAGATGTCTCATTTTAGCTCCCTGAGGTATACTGGGTGCTTTCCTAACCACCCTGACAAAGCCATAATGTACATCTTCAAGTGAGAAGTAACTACAGGCAGACACTAGTGCTGATGCACTTGGTCCTTGCAGTTTGTCCAGTGTGTTAGTCCTAATCTTCTAGAAGTGCTGTCTGTGCCTCAGTGCAGAAAGAAGGCTTGCTGCTGAGGTGTTAGTGTGGTATTCCCTTAGAACTTGCCTTGTCAATTCGAAGACAAGCTAAAATGGTTAATTTTAGGGTCTGGCATATGAAATAGCTGGATCCTCTCGCATCTTACACAGAGGAGGAGTTCTGCCAGGAGATCTGACAAGATCTTTCAATAATTTAGTCTCAAATCATCAAGCTATACTATGACTAGTTTGTTTTTTTTACTGTATTGCTCCACACTCATCTTTAAATTGTCGCTTTCTCCCCTTTATTTATAAGATTTTTAAAGCACATAGCCTGGGTGCATGTGTTTTAAATTATAGGTCACAAGTGCACTCTAATTCTTACTGGGTCAGTTGCTCCCCCAGTATTAAAGAGCAAAGACACTGCCACCAGAGTATATTTATTTAGCACTGATATGTACATAACAGGGACTTTTGGTTAAATACCAGCCATGACATCATCTAAAAGTGAAGGCTTACAAGTGTAGGCACTGGAGCGTGCATACACTGAGGGTGGAGCACCTGTCATCTCTGATGTTTCTGGCAACTATTCATCTCATGAAAAGAATTTTGATAGGCTTAAGTGACCTTCAATCATGCAAATCTGTTATCTGTTCTCTGTGATAATTCACAGTTGCTATGTTGAGAGACTAATATTGTATTGGAGAATTACACAGCTGTGTAGTCCTATGGAGGGAATCAACCTTTTTCCCTTCATGAAAAGCAGATTGCAGAGCTTGGATTTTTTATGTAGTAGCTTTACTGCCTTTCACTATGGTTTAGCTCTTTTTTCACATTGCTAGCCCAAAGGGACATTGATTCAGACCTATATAGGCAAATTAAAAGGTAAATTATCAGATATCAGAACACATTTCTCCCCATTCAGGGCAAATTTACCTTTTAATTTGCCAACGTAGAATGAACGTGATTTCTTTATTTGAAGATCAGTGGGGGAGACAAATAGAAGAAAGACCTTATTAAAATGTAATGTACTATTCACATAACAGATATTCAGGCAGTACATCCAGGCCATACCCTTGAGTGACAGTAAAGACTTTTTGTGTCTAGCCCCCGCTGCCAATATGACACAAAAACCTCTCCCTCTGGAAACAGAGAAAGGGCAATATCTCTGGGTGTTTTCCCTGTAGTCACTGAGCAGCAGGAAATAAATTGTTTCTCCTTCCTGTAATGTTCAGGCAGTTCAGGTCATTACATCTGCCTCTGCACCGTGTGCTGTGACCTCTGTCTCAGGGGCTCCAAAAAAAGTCTTGGTGAGTGGGGCAGCAGCACAGGCTGCATGAAGGTATGATGGTTTGTGTTGCATGTGCTGTGGCACTCAGTGGTTGATGTAGCACAGCAGGTTTCATTGGCAGAGGGTGCACAAGGACATATGTGTGTAAAAGAATCACAGCCTAATTGCTGCTGCGTGGTTCAGGTTGGAATGGACCTTATGTATCATCTAGTTTGCGCTCGCATGGGCAGAGACACCTTCCACTTCCAAGTTGCTCAGAGCTTCATCTAACCTGTCCTTGAGCACTCCCAGTGATTAGCAGTCTACAAGTTCTCTGTGCGAACTGTGCCAGTGCCTCATCACAAGTAAAGAATTTCTTCCTAATATCTAATTTAAACCCACCCTCTTTCAGTTTAAAGCCATTCCGCCATGTCCTATCACTACATGCCCTTATGAAAAGTCCCTCTCCAGCTCTCTTGTAGCCCCTTTAGGTACTAAAAAGCTGTGCTGAGGTTTCCCTGGAGCTGTCTTTTCTCCAGGCTGAAGAACTCCAACTCTCTCAACCTGTAGGAGAAGTGCTTCAGCCCTTTAATCATCTTTGTGGCCTCCTCTGGACTTGCTCCAACATGTCCATGTCTTTCTTGTGTTGTGGACCCCAGAGCTGGATGCAGTTCTCCAAGTGGGGTCTCACCAGAGCAGAGGGGCAGAATCCCCTCCCTCACCTGCTGCCCACCCAGCTTTGGATGAAGCCCAGGACAGGTTTGGCTTTCTGGGCTGTGAGTGCACATGGCTGGGTCATGTTGACTTTCTGAAAAATTTGAGACACTTTTAGAAAACATGACTAGTCCATCTAGAAGAACTAAATAATGAGGAAAGCAAAGAAAAGGGAGAAGGAAGCATCTAGAAATTATTCTAATGGATGACAAAAGTAATGTGGTCTTCACTGGGGTGATAAAGTAAAACATGTTCTGGAAATTAAAGTTCATAGAAATGTATTCAGAGTAAATAAAATTATGTTTATTCTGGCACATGAGAATATTGTTTTGTGACCGTTCTTCATGGATTTGTAAGATGAGGCCCTGATGCTAGATATGAAGGTCTTTGCAGCAGCATCAGCACCCCAGAGCTGGGGAATAAAATGAAGGCTTTATTTACTGTAGCACAGTGAATTTTCTGCCCTGCCACAGTGGTTTAAAGGTCTTCATTCTTGGGTATCCCAGCAACTCAAGAATATATGGGAATATTGCATGTATAGGTAAGGCTGATGTCTGATCAGATAAAAACTGTTTCAAACTGTTGTGTGAAGAGGAAAAAATGCAATACAAGTTTCTATGGTTATAACTGGAAGGGACAAAGGGATTCCCTTCATATCAAAGCGATGTCATATTTTGATGCCACAGATGTGTTGCTGAAACAAATGTGTGGCCAAGAGCAAATGGCCTGAGCTGGTTCTGACTGAGCTGATGGAGTGCAGCTCATGCAGAGACATTAACTGGCAACCCAAAGCAGTAAAGTGGTGCTGCCACCTCAGTTAGAGCCAGTGCTGCTGCAGTTCAGAACTAATTTGTTCAACCTTTGGGGATTTTTGCACTACACAGTATTTGGAAGGGAAATATGTTCACTGTTGTTCTTTTCCAAGTGTCTGATTGACAGTGTGAACTAGGTGAAATATTTCTGTGTTCAGCCTCTCAAAGAAGCATGGACAGTAAATAAAGATGAACAGGAACCTTTTCTAGAGCGTGCATTTTCTACCAGAAATGGCAAAAATTATATAGTTTGAAGACAAATCATTGTTTTAAGATGTTCAAAAGAGAAGCTGTGAAACAGTAATTAATAATATTTTCCAGTAGCAAAGCATGAAGTACAAGGATTCCATTTCTGGATTTTCACCAACTTTCTGTTTAATAGTGTATATGTGCATAGAAAGAAAATAAACTTCGACTTCCATGGCTCTCCAGAGGGGCTGATTGCTCCTCTGGTGTAATAATAAACCTGATAACTATGACTTTACTGTTTACAATTATTAATAAATGTACTGATAGTGCAGTAGATACACTGCGGAATGCATCACTTTGAGAAAACAACAACACACCAACCTCTTTAAATTATAAGGAGTTGTTAAATATAAACCTCAGGGCATCTGTAGATAGCTGGGGAAGAGACAGATCTGAACTCTTGGCAAGATAAAGAAACGTCCTGTACATATAGCAGTGGCGCCTGTGTATTCTGAATACTTGATTAAATCCAGGTTGAATAGCTAAGTGCTTGGAGGCAAAAATTTACTCACCTTCTTAACATGTGCTTATCTCTGTAACATTGCGCACTGCTTGTAAGTGTGGTTGGTCCTTGGTGCCAGGATGTGTCTGTGTGCAAGACATTACAAAACTTTCCATTTTTTGAAAGTAGCCTTTGCTGAAAGGAGAGAGAAGCTAAGGCTGCTGCAGAACCTTTTGGCATGGCTGTTGTTTTTCAGAGTAGGTATCAAAGGTGCTGACTATGTATTGGCATTAAGTGATGGATGAGGCTTTGTTTTGAATCTTCTTCAAAGTGACATAGTTTGACACCGTCTGTAACTTGAGGCCTTTCCTTGTTTCTGTGTTTTGCAGTTTCTCTAATTGTTCATTCAAACACTGGCACTTAGACAAAAAGTTCAGGTGTTTCTTAAGCTAAAAATGATATAAAAATATTGGAGAATGCAGAAGCCTGTGTACTTAGGTTAGTCTAATAGATTGATTTTCCTGTCAGAAGCCTACAGATTACAGTAGCTGATGTCCTGAAGGTAGAATAAGATCAGAATTAGAAGAGGTAATACCCAGATTTTCATGTCAAGAGAGGGTTTCAGGTCAAGAGAGGGTTAGAGAAGTTATCAGGTATAGCACCTGAAAGCTTATTTTGAGAAAATTCATCTGAGAAAACCTTTACGTACCACTGGACTTACAGCTCTTCGTCTATATCGCAGGCCTCCGGGTAATCTCAGATACTACTAACAACCATTGAGTGTTGGACCTTAAGTTGTGTTCTGCAATCTTGCTTGGGTTTGAAGAGAGGCAGAAAAAAAATCCCAAACCAAATAAAAATCTTGTTGAAGTTTAAAGACATTAGAGCACAAAATTTTTGGGTTCAGCAAGGAAGAAGTTTTATCCTGACTAAGTATCAATAAGGTTTTCTCTCACTTTCCTCCCTGCGGCAAGCATGAGCTGGAAAATTAGTCTTTACCAGAACTTTATCTTGACCCATTCCCTATGTTGACAAGCTCAAGAAGCAGCTGTCATGGGTATAAAAATTCATGCCTGCTGAAGAGTTTCTCTTTGCCAGGGAGTTTGACTGCAGTAGAGGTTCTGCACTGTCAGATGACCACAAAAAGCTGACATAGATTTCAGTTCTGTTGCTTCATTGTATTCCTGGGAATCTATGGATGGCTCTGTGACATAAGAGAGCGGACACACATCCTAGTTATTGGCCAATCCCAGATATTGAGGCCATTTGAGTGGCACATTTCTATCTCAAGTAACTGGTGACTACTGTATGTTTCATGGCATGGTGATGGCTGTTGTTTGTTAGTTTGTTTTTCACATTAGTATAATACTCAAGTTTGACCTACGTATAACAATCTCTACTATTAGTTTGTTTATATAGTATATAAACTATTCCCCTTCTTAAAAGTGCAGTGATATAGGAGTTCTCAGTAATTCATTGTGGAGGCCATATTTATTCTGAAAATATTTTTCCTTCTAGACTGTTGGCTGTGATTATGAGATAAATTCCAATGCAACGGAAGACCAGTGTGGAGTTTGCCTGGGAGACGGCTCTGCTTGTCGTACAGTGAAGATGGTGTTTAATCAAAGTGAAGGATTTGGTAATATGGGTTCTTCTTTTAAATTCTTCTGCTGGTGAAGTAATTTCTCTACATAAAAAGGATTAAGAGCTTCTCGTTGCAAACTGAGTGATCATCTGCATGAAAAATAATAAATGGATGTTTCAGTGAATCACGCTTCTGCCAGAAAAAATCTGCTATCTGTGCTTTTTAAGTTCACCTTGTCTTATAAAAAAATCATCGGAGACCAACAGGTCCTGTGCAAGTAAGACAGATAATAATAAAATCCAAAATAGCAAATGCATTTACAAAATGAATGTAATTTGCCATCTCAGAAAATCTGTATGTAAAGTGAGTGGTTTGGGGATTCATTTTTAAGTGTCATAAAGGGGAGCTTAAGAGTAATTCCCTTCAGGTTTAAGGTGGTCTGAATAAACACTTGGAGGACTGAGCTTTTCTTCACTGACGGTGGTGAGACATTCAGGCCTTAAGCTGACTTAAGCAGCATGAGTCTGAACCAGAGAGTCTGGAAGCAGGAGTGGGAGACTAAACCTGAGTAAGAACTGTGGCAGTGAGCTGAAAGTGGAAGAGACAGCCAGGATGAACAGCTTTGATTGGAAACCAGGACAGGAGGGGGAGAGGTGGGAAGATGAGGCACTGGAGAGCAAGCTTAGAGCTAGGTCTGTGGCTGAAGAAAGAGGCTGGTGCCTTGATCTTGAGAAGTCTCAAAATCAGTAACTAGTACCATGCTAGTGAGGAGGGAGAAATTGCAGTGAGAGTGTGCCTTTAGCTGGCTTTTGGGTTTGTGGATTTTTTTAAATAAAATAATAGTTCTGGTTTGCACAAGAATGATTTGTGCTAGTAACTTAAAGCTAGTTTGATAGGATTTTCCTAAATTCAGGGTAAAAGCAGCTTAAATAATTCAGGGGTTTCTTCCATACTCTGTACTTGGATTTGCTTTCCTTCTCTCTGTTCCCCAAAGGTGAACTTCGGAGATGCCTGAAATCCTGCAGTAGGTTGCATATATATGTGACACTTACAAAGGAAAATCTACAGCTCCCGCTCTTCCAATTCTACAGTAATTCTCACATCTCTGATCTTTTCCTTCTGGGAATCTAAAATTCACTCTGCCTTTGAGTGTGTGTGAGTTTTCCAAGGCTACAGATGATGTGAACTTCATTTTCAAACAACAGTTTTACTAAAAACGTCCAATACTGTAATACATAGAAGGATAAGCGCCTCTTATTTTATTTAAACTAATTTTGTGTTATATCTTTGTTTTTGCTTGCCTTGAGATTCAGTCAGCCTCACTGACAGATACTGGTCAGGGATACTGAGTGTTAAGTATTATTTCATTACTTTCTTTAGATTCAGTAAAAAAATGTAGATTCTGCAGATTCTCTCCCTTCTATAGACATTGACTCCATTGCAGAAGGGAAAAGTGTCAGGCAATGCAGAGGTTAGTGAGCTCTTCAAGACAACGTGTGGATCTCAGTGTTCACAGGTGTTAAACTGGCAATAGAAAAATTTTTTTTTGGTTCACAATATATGGCTTCTTTTTGTCTCTGACAGGTACTGTGGTGTTCTGTCAGATTTATAGCAGAGTGGCTACTGAACAGTTTATATAAACAGAAAAACCTTAGGCTCATAAATTCAGTATAGGTAACAAAACTGTACTGAAGGTACAGTCACTGGCAAAGAAGATTTTGAGGAGTTTTTCTACGTTCAATGGCACAGAAAAATACAAAATCAAAGCTAATGTGTTCTGACTTAAATCTCTGTTCAGAGCCTAAGTCCAGGAGGGCTCTTCCTGGATCTAATGCTGCAGCAGTATGTGTTGTCTGCAAGTTGACTAAGTCAGGTTAATGAAATGCTAGAAATGAGTTTTAATAATTCAGCCTTTCCTTGCAGGGCAAGGTGATCAGTTTTACCTGAAGTCTTACTGCTTCATGTTCAGAAAGAAAAGTTTGAAGGTAGAGTTTGAAAAAGTCGAAATCCTTGTTTTTACTGGTGGTGGTGTGACAATTGTAAAGGAGTATAACTGTGTATAGCACAGTTATATAAGGAGCATAACTGTGTATAGCAGGACATCTGCAAGCTGTGCAAGCTCCTTGGAATGAGAGTAAACTGCACTGCTGGTTGAGGAGAAGCACTGGAGTAGGAGAAAGACTGAGGCACATGGAGCAGGGCCTTAGGACTGCGTTAAGTGCAGGGAACATGGAGTAAATGGACAGCAAATAGGGCGAATGAGGTTGTCAGCGTCAGACAAAGGATTCTGTCCCTGGTGGAGGTGTGTAGTCATAAGGATGGTTATTTATTCTGTCTTCACCCTTTTGCACGTGTTATGGGAAATGACTTTTCCACCTTCTAGTAGTAAGTGGACAAGGCATTTAAATGTATAAAAAGTAGGAAGTGAGGGATTGTACATTAGGGGTGGGGGTGTTTTCCTCAACCAATCTGAAGGCAAAATAAGGTGCATGAACTCCTGTGAAGGGCTATATTTTGACAAAGTGGTGGTCAAACAAGGAAACTGGTTGTGCTCACCCTAACATGGAGGTTTATCCAGCTCCTGTTACTTCCTGACTTGGCTGGGACTGAACAGACTTGTGCCGTGCTCTCTCTGCTATCACAGTTTCCTTTTCATGCAAACAAAGTGCAGACAGAGATCTGGTATGTTCCTAAACTTAACCTTGTATCCTGAGATGGACTTTGGACATAGGCATGATGCATGATCTGAGAGACTGGAAGGTCTACTTGATCCTCACTAGCAAGACTGTCTCTAGACTATAATTTTTTTGCCATTCCTATCACACCTTTGATATTTCAATGAAAGGTTCTGTGAAAGCATACATGGACTTGCAAACCCAGTATGCCTCTGGGAGCCTGTGCTATTTCCGATGTAATATCCTTGTGGTAGTGTCCAGAGCTTGGAAAATTGTGCCTCAGGTATGTATACTTTAGAGAAAGAAAGGCTTGCAGATATAACAAACTGGAGAGCAAGAATGTGAGCTGTTGTGATAAGGAGAAATAGTCAGATCTGATTATCACCTGATCTGCAATGCTATGCTAACAGCCTGGGTAAAATTACTCGTTTCTCACAGCAGTGGGAAAAGAGAAACAAGCTCCTCAGTCTTTGTAGAGCTGTTCCTACAACAATGGTTTCATTACTTTATTCGTCTGTGTTAGGAGCATACAGATTTAATTTTAATTAAAAAGGGAAGGTTTAATAGTATCTGAGAGTTGCTTATTCACAGGTGTGCAAAAGCACCCACAATAAGGTTGCTCCAGGATTTAATGAGCACAGCGTGTAGGTAAGACAACTGACATTTTGACTGTTATTGAATCTCGGATGTCTAGTCCTTATCAGATGAAACCACAGAACCAGGAACAATTACATAAACACCATCCATGTAATTTTTAAACAAAAATTTTTTATGATGAGTGACAAGCTCAAAAGCTTGCTGCTGATTAGCTTTGCTTTCAAAATCAGATAATGTTTATTGGTAATCAGTGAGAGGCTCTGAGAAATCGAGAGGTAATTTGGTGGTGAAAAAAAGGAAGGACAGAGAGAAGGCAGTGTGATACACTGATCGAATGATAACATCCATCAACAGACAGCTGAAATACATTTAAAATCCCATTTATGATTCAGACAAAAACAATTATTCAAAAATCTAGAAAGGATAACCAGCTTTTCATGTTAGAACAGACCAAAAATTTCATTTTATTGATTTTATACTTTGTGTCTTGAACAAATGTTATTTTAATTACATCTGGAAAAAAACCCAACCTACTGTAAAAGAACACCAGCACTGCAAAGCCAAACTGTCAGGACGTGGCATAATTAAGATTTTCCATGCTGTGTTAATTTGGCCCAGTTGTAAGTATGCCTTCTATTCAAATGTTCAGTTACATAATCACACACTGTGTTCATAACATGTCTTCTCTGTACTGAATGAATAGAACATTTGGGAGAGTCATTAGACTTAGTTACTTACAATAGACCTAGACCGCTGATTTCATGAATAATAGAGGTTATTCAGTGAGCTTCCAGATTTTGTTATTTCATTCACTTCTGAAAGATTGAAATGTTTGGATTTCCACAGTCAGTCAAGGTACCATCCAGAAAACTCTCCCTCTTAAACATCAGTCACTGGAAATCTATGTACGTAATTATATAATATTAATGTAATTAGAAAGGACCTGAAACAGGCAGATCCTGTTTTGTACCCTAAGAAACATGTGACATTTTAACTAATATTTATTACCCCATAAAAGAGCTGCAGAAAAAATTCAGATGTTACGGACTTTGGGGACACTTAAAACAGCAGGTTGTTGTACAGCATATAAATAGTTCTGGTAGATGAAGAACATTGATACTGAAGATTGATTAGGATGCCCAGTGTGGTTTGTCTCACTCGTGTGAGTGAGCAGTCAAAGGTGATAAACTTGTTTCAAAAGAAAAGTTAACAAAGATGTGAGTCTCAGAATTTAATTCATTACCTCAGTAGTGTGTAATAAGAACTGGAGAACCACTCATGTTCCTGTCTCGAAAAAAACAGCACAAAATGCACCTCACAGTTCCAGTAGACCAGATGGTAGAGATGTCATCCATCCAATTTCCAAAGCCAAGCTAGGAGCAATAACAAGAAAGCTATCTGAGTTTCTGTACAAATATCTTTGTGAAGTTCCTATTTTTACAACTCAGTAGCAATAGCAGTTCCCTGTAGAGTGAGAAACACAGAGCCTGATGTCATATATTGACTGTGGTACAAACAGAATTCTGTAATAGGTGCTCTGGGTTCATTCTTGGCACACAGGCTGAAAATCTTTTAACAGGTAACTTCACACATGAAGAGCCTTTGTACTTTCTTGTGAAAACCAGTAGTTGTTAAAAATATGCTCGATTTATAGTAGTAGTTTGAGGTATTTGTATAACACTCATTTTTTCTTGTAGGCTATCTATGGCAAACAGCCATAGAGAAGCTAAATGACTTAAGAGAAAGTGGAATTATGCACATACCTGTACAGTGGGTACAGATGCAAATGTTCTTTGAAAATTGAAAAAACCTTCCCCACAAGGTTTGTTTCCCACAAGGACTGTTAACTTGCTGTAACTCCCTGGCATTTCTCACTGCAGATTGTTCACACTGCAGTATGACAGAGACCTTGGGTGTGGTTATGGAGATGCTGATGCTCATCTGTGGAGTAGATTTTGCCTGGTGCAGCTCAGAAAGTCATTCACTTAGGTATCTTTTCTAAATGTCGCTGACATTTCTGAAACATGTTTCCCCAGTCCATACTAGAAAATCACGCTATTAACAAATTGAAATACAAGCTCTGTGAGAGCACATTTGTATATATTTTCAAGCAAAGCAGATGTTTTAATAATCTTACAAGAAGTAAAATGCAATGGCAACTTTGCTGTTCACCTCCATGAACCTTTCTTGTCTCTTAGGATATGTTGATATTGGGCTAATTCCAAAAGGTGCGAGGGGAATCAAAGTCATGGAAGTTGCAGAAGCAGGAAATTTCCTTGCTGTGCGAAGCAAAGACCCAGAAAAATACTACCTGAATGGAGGCTTTATCATCCAGTGGAATGGTGAATACAAAGTGGCAGGCACAGTATTTCAGTATGACAGAACAGGGGATCTAGAAAATCTGACTGCTCCAGGACCCACCAATGAATCAATATGGATTCAGGTAAGTAGGACATCATAAGCAGCACCTGCTGGATTTGGATGGCAGCAGAATGAGCTGAGACTCTGAAACTGAGGCTGGAAAATATATATTGGTATATGAACATCCTATTTGCATGCTATCTTGCAAAAAATAGTTGAGCTGTTTTGCAGAGAAATAAGCATCTTGCTTGAGTATTGTTCATCTTGCCTAAAAATACATGTCCTGTAACATAGTCTGATGATTACTGCATGCTGGTATAATCCTATGTTGCCACTAGGACAGGGATCCTGTCACCTATAGTTGGTCAGTCCTTTGCCCAAACTTCCCTGTCTCTTGTACCAACTTAGAGCAACACATGGCTGTGATGTGAACCACATCAAGATGAAAAATAAATGATCACAAAAAGAGAGCTGATGTCAGGCTGTGAACAGTGAGAGCTAGGGAAGGCTGACAGCAGTGACAGCTTACAGTGAGCAAGAAAAGCGTACAGGATTACATAGATGGATTAATAGCTTGTAAGTGAAATTGATCCATCTAGCATACACGGAGGCTGCTTTCTTTTGTTTGTTTCATGTTGCTTTATAGATGCTAACATAAACATAACTAGCTTCTGTTAATTCTGAAAAAAATATTTTAAAATTGACCGTTTGTTCTCTGAAAGTATCTCTCATGGCTTGTTTGCCTGTGTATCTACCATGCAATTAAAAGAAGTATTAGGTGTGTGATGGGAGCCACTTTCACACTTTGTTTGGTGAGAAGGCACACCTAATGGGTGCTCAGTCTTCTAGTACAACTGGGAGGAAGAGTAGGAGTTAATTCCTGAAGTCTTTTATCCCTTGATTGATGATAAACATATGATGATGTTTATTTTCTCCTTTCCAGGTAAATTTCTGGAGTGGCTCTTCTCAATTGGAATTTTGCTTCTCAGTTCAGAAACACTGAAAAATAATATTAAAGCAGTGTCTGAATAATGTCTGTAATTTTCTGACCTAATGGTTGTTTTGTAAGAGCTATTTCAGAAGGCAGGGAAATTATAATTTATAATAGGGATAGGCAATGGGCTCTTAATCAGCAGCATATGGATGCTTTGGATGGACTTTGCATTATCTTTTCTTACAGTCAATAGGGTAACAATTATGCTGACCCACTTATTCCCACTTGTGCTTGCAAAGTGCATGGCAAACAACTGTGTCTTTGAAAGATATATGTCAACATAGAGATGGAAATTATGCTTCTCTGAACTGGCAGTAGGTTCCAAAATGGGCTGCTTTAATTCTTCCAGTTTCACACTTTGAAAGCTTTTGGCCAGTGGATTATTAATTAGATAATTAATAAGCAACACTCTTTCCAGCTACTTTTTCAAGAAACTAACCCTGGAATCAAGTATGAATACACTGTACGTAAAGAAGAAAGTAATGAGAATGAGATTGGAGAGCCAGAGTATTTTTGGCAATATGGAGACTGGACGGCCTGCAGTGTTACCTGTGGAAGAGGTAATTCCTCGCTTCCTTTTTCTGTTACTGTTTGTGTTCATTACTGGCAAATCTCATCTAAAAGTTATCCAGACATAATCCTCAAAGAGGTAAGGTTCTTTAATCTGCATGTGGTGGGAAATCAGATCACACGTTTACAAAAATAATATGAGGAAAAACTTGTTTACTTTGAGGATAACAGAGCACTGGAGCAGGTTTCCCAGAGAGGTTGTGAAGTTTCTTTCTCTGGAGGTATTCAAAATCTGCCTGGCCATGAATCTGAGCTAGCTGACCCTCCTAAGCAGCACACTGGTGCACTAGTAGAACAGATTTATGCCCAGGTAATCAAAGCACAAACACATCCGGAATAATAAGCTTTGTTATATTTTTTTAAAAAAGGGCATAGCAACAGAAAAGGTGTATTTGGAAAATGTTAGCTCTTCATCATTATGGAAATTGGAAATGCTGAAGTCTTGCTGCACTTAGCAGGGAATATGGGCATAGTAGAGTTTATTGACCTAGAACCAAATAGCCTCACACGGCTACACATCATTGTGGTGTGATCCCTGCTGAGTTCAGCTCAGGACCAGCAGGCAAAATAAGAGCAGAATTGAATATTGCTAGTGTTGCTGGATTACGGAGCACCCTTCTCTGACTTCTGACTTTGAATGATGAGATTGATTTTATCTGAGTGTTCATTTTGTTTAGATTCAAAATTCATTTTTGTTGTACCAAATTACTAGAATTTCAAGTGTTTTGAAAAGTTTATAGGATGAAACTATATTGAAGTAGGCAAGTTCCTCTTCTGCTATGGGTGTGCTGCATGACAAGTCTTATTGAAGACAAACCTACAGATAGATAAATAAGAAAAGCTGTATTTAAATAGCCTAAGGTTAGTAGTAAATATCTTTCAAGGATTATTGCAAGCTTTCATTTGGTAAACAGTAAACCAGTAGTTTTTCCAAGATAAAAAGAAGGGCCAAGAAAGCTGAACTGTTGAACTGACAGCTGCAGTCAGTGTGAGAAATTGATCCTTACCTAAACTTATCTTCTCCTGGCAAACCTGAACATGCCCAAGACTCGGCATAGGTTCTTTCCTCACCACTGGTCAACAACCGAGCAGTAAATCCAAGGGCACTATGGCCTTTCACAGTCATAGAGATCAGAAAAATGTGAACAAATGCTTTGTGGAGCCAAGAAAGTGAAGCTGCATTAGGGAATGACAGATGGGACTACAGGGAGGGGAATTGGGTGATGTTTCATCTGTCCTAAGAGAAAAAATGATGCAGTTTTAGCTCAGTGATACACCTGCTTATCCATGGTGAATGCATCTGAAAAAAGTCCAGGTGGTGACTAATGAATGATGAATTATGGCTTGGTAGGGTGAAGCTGTCTCTTCACAGAATGAACCCAGGGCAGCTCCCTAAAGATATTTTTCCACAAGATTCTTGGCCCCTTTTCCAGTTCCATTGCAGTGGAGAAACAGAAGATCCATGTCTTCCTTCATTGCCCTCATATGCCCCCATCTTTTGTAGTCTCAAAGAGGGGTCAGGCCAGTCTACCATAATATCACGTAACCGGGAAAAAATACTGTCTGAAAAATTAATAGTTCTTGTGGTAAACATACCTAATACTGCATACAAGGAAAAGGAGAACACATTGCAGCACGTGATGCTCATTATCAGTGTAGGAAATAGATCAGCACAATTCAGTTCATGGAGAACAAGCACCGAAAGGGGATAATTTATAGTAAAGATCATAAGCTTTGCTCAGTCCTCAGTTCAGGACAGGTTGAGCCTCTTCCTGCCATTTCCTTTATGCAGAAAGGAATCACTTTGCAGTTAGAATCTGTGCACACCAGACAGTGCTCTGCTGCTGCACCCACTGGCCAAGAACCTGTTGTTCCAGATCCTGCTGTCAAGACAGCAACTAGAGCCCGTAGGCTTTCTGACAGCCAGATTAATTTAAATGTGTCACTGAGTTTTTTTTCTAGAGCAACTACCTAATATTCTTTCTTTACAGAATCACAGAATGGGTAAGGTCGGAATTACAAGTATTAATCCTTCCTCCTTGCCTAAAGGCTTTAGCCATATTTCTTAAAACCAGCTTCAAGTGGCATTAGATGTAACAAGAGGTATAACACAGCACAACTGCAATAAAGCAAGGATATTAGGCAACATCAACAATTTACTTCTCCATAGATAGCATCAGTAACTGGCAAATTTTCAAAGCTCCACAAAAGGACTTAACTGTAAGATTTGTTCAGAGGTTAATTGTTATGTGCCCCCTAAATCCTTCCCAACTGTTATCAAGGCTGCTTTGCAAAATTACCATCAGATGTTCCTGAACTGAAATGTGGTATTCAACTTGCAGCATTGATTTTAGAAAACAAAGGTCACTGTATTTCTGTTCACTGTTACGGGGTTGAGTTTTGTAACACTGAGAATTTAAAGTTTGACTCTTGTATTCTGCACATTACTTGTACATGCACAGAATATAATTTGCTCATTCAAATACAAAGAGTATCTGATTTAAATGGACAACCGAGACAATTACATGTTTAAATGAGTTCTATGATCAAAGATGCTCTTTTGCATATGCCTTTTATACACTTGCTTCTGGTCCTCTATTTCTGTTGTTTTCAGCCTTAATTTTGCCCAAACTGAGAGCTATGCAGCCAACAGATTTCTAATCTCTGTTTCAAAAGCCTCCCACAACCAGATGACTTTAAACAGGCTCCTTTCTTTGTAAACCAAGTGAGAAATCAAGAGCTGAAGAGGTTAAGCTCGCACCTAAGAAGCCCTGCATTAGGAATGAAGTATCACAGAGAATAGAAGTAATCTCTGAGCAGATTCAGAGAAATGAAGATTTTTCTTTGATCTATTATTGTCATCCTTGATTTCTCTTTTTTCCTCAGAATATTTGTAGGTTTGTTTGGGGTTTTTTTGTTTGTTTGTTTTTTTTTCCCCACAGAGCTGAGATAGTACTCATCAGTGTGAACTAATTAGCGTTGATGTCAAAGAGAAGAAAAAGTGGTGAAGAGAGGAAAACAGCTATCTCTCAAAGCCCTCTAAAAATAGTGTTAAGGTTTCAAATTTTACTGAGGTTTAGGTAAATTTAGAATTCTAAATCTGTGACTTAAATGGGATATTACCTATTTAAGTTATGCAATTGTGTAAATACTTGTTAGGGTAGGATCGGTGTGGAGTGACTAGTTTTCTGATTCTGCAGTGTTTTCTAGTTCAACTTGCTCAACCTGATAAAAGCAACTGTGTATTGATATAGGATTCCTTCCAGCTTTGGAGCTCAACTTCCAAACATTTTGAAACTACACTGGGAGTTCATATAACTTCCATAGTAAAAGTTGTTTGTGTGAATAAATTAATTTGTTGATGTCAGTGATCTGCAGTTGTTTTATGAGAATGTACAGCTTCAAAGCAAAACTTTTGCAAAGGTTTATGGTGGTTTGAAAGTGAGTTACAGCATCTGAAATGACACTAAACATTTATCAAAGCGAAAGATTTCTTATTTGTCTTTGCAGGAGCAGCATATCATGATTTTGAAAGGGGCAGAAACATATTTCTGTGAACTGCTTTTTTTACAGCTAGCAGGAAGGTTGCTGAATATTCCGGGTACATTTACTGTAGCATAAAAGAGAACGTGGATCCCTGGGAGTCCTGTGCTGAACCAAAATTCTTTCTTCTGCTTGAAGTCACCTGGGAATAGGAGATCATCACCTCCAGACATACTGCAACCTTGCAGCTATTTCCAAACATTGGAGCTTGAATGCCTCCATCCCTTAATCTTCCCTTATAGGTGACACTAATTCTGCTCCAGAAAATCAATCCTCACGTCTGACTCGAGGAAAGCAAGTCATCAAATCCTGTGCTGTAGTCACCAATTGTTTTGTATGTCTCAGTCCCAAATCTGAAAGTACTCAAAAAGTGAAAACATACCCTCACATACCTGTTTTTTTTTCTGAAGTAGTAAAAATGGGATACAGATTTCCCTTGGCTTCTATGGAATGACTCAGATATGCATAGAAAAGTCCCTTCTGTGTTACTGAGGCAGTTTTGGGTTACTGGTTGGACTTGATGGTCTTACAGGTCTTTTCCAACCTTAATATTTTTATGATTCTACAAGTCTATATGTTGTATGGAGGAATATTTTCATATTTCCCAAGTATTTGCTATGGATTACTGGTCTTATCTTCCAGATAATGCCCCACACTAGTTAATAGGAGGTCTGAGGCAAGGAAGGAAAAGCTGGTTTTCTAGGCAAAATAGCCTAACACTTATCCTTGGCACCATAACAACAGTGCTGTTAGGCCCTGTGCTTCCCAGAAGGATAAAAGTCATAGAGATACAGTGACCTACCATGTGCATAATAATTGCTGTGAATAAATACCACAGTTAATTTAATGAGAGTTAATAAATGTTTCTTCAGTCTTTTTAGTCCTTAGAATTTGGATGTAATACAGTTATTTTAATGTCTCTATATGAGTCTAGCTACAACCTTTCAAACTGTAATATTGCAATATGTTTTTTTAGATTGGGTTGCAGCATGAGATCTGCCTCAAATTATTGCAGAACTGTGAGGAAATCAGGCCCCTGGAAACTGACTTTCTTTAGATTCACACTAGGGTAATGTAGTGTTTTAGTATTCATGTTTCTTTCTGTTAAATGAGTGGGATTTTGTGTAAGTGGAACTATTAGGAAATAACCCAGATTGTTTGTATGGAATATCTCTGTGTGTCTCTTGATCACTGTGATTTGCCTCTTGTGCTGAGTGTTCTGTAATAGTTGCTCAGAAAACATAGTTTTCAGTCAAAATGTATACAAAAACTTCTTAAAACTGGAATTCAGCATTAAGAGTCACAAGGTTAAGGTTTTGCTCATACAGTACAGTTTGTATTCTGCTTAAGCAGCCTTCCCAGAAGTGCAAAGCAATGGTCAGCAAAAGCAGGCTTGCTGTGAACAGCCTGATGCTGCTGTGTTGCCTCTTGTCTGTGCATAATGCAGGAACCATTCATAGCCTTTTAAACCTGCCTCATGGCCTGCAGGAGCCCTTTCTGAAGCTGACAACTACACTGGGATTAAGGAAAGGGCTTTCCAATGTGTGAGTTGAGCCATCTGATCCAAAAGAGCACTGCTTAACCCCTTTTCAACTTGATTGAAGGATGCTCATACCTGATTTAGCTCAGATATTCAGCACAACAGATTGTCACAGCTGTTAATGTATTCTGGGATGCAGGGTACAACTTCTTGGCAGATTTCTGCAGTTCACCTCCAGCCTACAGGGGTTACTCTTCCTTTTTTTGTGGTTTTCTCTGGCAGGGGTGCGGCGCCAGGTCGCCCACTGCGTGTGGAAGGGGAGCGGAGCAATCAAGAACTCCTTCTGTGATCCAGCAACTCAGCCCAACGGGAGGCAGAAGAAATGCTACGAGAAGGACTGTCCGCCCAGGTAACGGGTACTGGGAGGCCATGGGGTGGTGAATAGCAGCCCTGTTCAAAGGGATATGTTGTTTCTGATACCACATTAACGTGGCACCCACAGCCTGCCATGGTGAGAGCTTCCACGCACCACAGAGCAAGCTGTAGAAACCCCCTAATAAGCAAATCGAAAGTGAGCAGCCCTGAGAGGTTACCAAGGCGAGTTACTGAGCAGTCTGTGCTGGAAATGGCAGAGACTGCACTCTCATTCATGCGTGTAGGTACTGTTTTTATTCAGTTTAGGTGCAGGTGTGCCTCAAGACTGTATAAATTTTTATTTATTTTAAAAATTGTATTCCTGCCTTAGCTCAAGTGATAATGCATTCCTATGTGGTCCAAAAACTAACTTATAGAGAGACCTTTTGATGCTGTTTTTCAGTAATTTTTTATACTCCTTTGTCCTTTTTGTGAGAAATGATGGGTAGAAATGCCCACTTTTGTAACTAATTTTTATGCTTTCTTTATAACACATCGTTTGGAATCTTTACATCATATCCCTTTATGTTTTTAACTTTCAGTGAAGCGCAGCTTTCTTCATTATATCACAAAGGAATAATGTTTTCCATTCTCATAACACTGCCTTAACTCATTTTCATCTCCAGTTTTTTTCTTCTACCACTTGAGTGAGTAGGGTAAGGGAGACTAAACACAGCAGACATTCCAAGTGTCAGCAGAACTGTGAGCTTGTACAACAGACATAGATTTGCTGGAAGAAATCAATATTGGGTTTAGTGTCATCCTTTAGGTGCTGTAACATCTTGCTTTTGTCTTTTTCATCTTTGAAAGTTGTTTATCATGCTGTTCACAGTGGTATACCAGTTTTTCCCTTGTAATTCTAGTTCAATCAGAATAAATTGAAGTAATGAGTCCCTTAGAGCTCATTCTATTGCATTTGACAGCAGTGAATTACATGAAACTTTAATGTAAAAAGTTCTACATAGCTGTTGGTTTTACCAGTTGTTCCCAAGTATCTTCACAACAGCATATGATGTCTCCTCTGGGAATTATGTCTTTTTGCTTGCAGCCTAGACTACCAGCATTTCATAATTCTTTGTAGAGTTATGGAAAATCAATTGATAATCAACATGGATTGATAAACTTACTAACTAGTCAACTAGTTAAGAGTTGAGGCCATGCACATACTTTGGGGTGTTTTTTATGGCACATATAAACTTTGCAATCAGTTCCAAAGTTCCAAATTAACTGAGTTTGTCCCATTTGTTCTAAGTGACAACATTATTTGGACCTGCTCTTGAAAGCGAGGGTGCAGCATTTGTCCCTTGTTGAGCATGTTGTAGAATTATGTAATATGGGCACAAGCTCTTCTGCAGACAAGGCAGAAAAGCTCTCAGCCCTGAGTGATGCTTCTTAAGCTTCTTCTGCACTGCAGAGGAAAGTACTAAAGTAATGACAAATGCAGTGCAGGAAAATTGTAAGTATTTAGTTCCATGTTGCATACTTATTTTTCTCTTAATAACATAAGAGTGACTGTAGTAGTTCAACCAAGGGATTATCTAAAAGTCCCTGTTCTGGCTCTCAGCAGGACCTACATGTCTAAGGAATAGTAAAGGCAAGGCAAACATAAATTATATCTCTTTCTAATGCTCTTCCAGCTTCCAACTGGTTTTAATTCATGATATTTCCAGAGGTTTTCATGGCTTGTCTAATCAGTAACCTCCAATGGATCTCTCTTCCAAGTGCTTGTCCAGCCTCCCTCTGCAATGCTGTAAAACTTCTATTATATACAACTTCCTCTGCAAGAAGTTCCACAGCTTTAGTTCCTGTGTGAAGCACCACCTCGTTTTAACTATTCTGAACCTGGCTCTCACTAACTTCTGTTGGTGGCCCTGAATTCCTCTGTTGGGAGCAATGGCAGCTTAGTACGTTTTGTTGATTTGTTACTTTAAAGAAAATCTGAATATTGGAGGAAGGTGTGACTGTCCCATGTGGCATTATACAGGATAACCGAGGGTCCACATGGAGCTGCTGAAGACCAAGTGTTCTATAGAGAGGTGGCTAAATTCTATGCTAGAGGTGAGGACAGTGCTGTTAAACACATTACTGCAGGAGACCTTTGTTTAGTGCTGCAGCCCCACAGCTGAAACCATTGGATGACACCACACTTCCCAACAGCAAGTCTGGTTCTTTATAGTGACATCCTGTCTAAAAAAAGGTGGTTGTTCTCTTGAATAAGCTTCCCTCTGATGAACTGCAGCATCCCACTGGTGGAAAACGTGCTACCATGAAACAAGCTACTTGACCACAAAACCAGAAGTAGATAATTTATCAAACAGTAGCTACAAAGATGTTTGTGACTCTCACAAACCAGATCTTATCTCATTAATTCATTTCAAGAAGCTAAGTTTGAATTACAGGCTTCTGAGAAGTCTTAACATTCTGGCTTTTTGGCTGACTTGCTCTGCATTTATTTTATACTCGTTACTACATTTATTATTACGCTTTCTACTAAAGTAATTTGGAGCAAAATGAATAAAGTATTAAAATATCGCAATATATGTATGCCACATTTTGACTCAGAACAAAATAAAGATGGCTGAACAACTCAGAGTTAAAATGTACAACTTGGGTGATGTTGCTCAGTAGGAGTGTGACCAGACTGTAGCTTAAATGGATGCTTTTTTCCATGTTAAGGTATGGAGTATGGTTTCCAGTTACATGTTTCTTTGGTAGGCAGGTGTTAAAGTGTGGTTCCATAGGTGTTAAAGTCAGGAGATGCTACTTGAACAAGAGTGAGATTTTAACTAGTTATAGTGTTGTGAATTAAAGTTTTGCTTTACCCTGCAAATAAAATTGCCTGGATCCTTTTTACTTTGACTACCCACTTGAACAGAGTAACCTTAAATTTCACAAGTACCTAGAATCTCCTGCTTTTTGTCTGCTGTTGCTCTGTTGTCCTTCCAACAGCATAATAAGAATAGGAAATCTTGTTTCTATTATAATACACAGTGAGAATCCATGCCCTGCTGGTATTTGACATGCCTGATGCTATGCAAATACTGAAGGAAGACGGTCTTTCTTTAATTGTGACACAGCAGAGGGAAGGAGGGCGGGAGGAAGGGAACATTCAGCCCCATAGTCATGATTTGGTTCCAAAATCCCATGCTTCTAGTTTTTCAACAGGTTGCACACTTCATTCAGCACACATCATCTAGGCAGAGACCAGGACTGTGTAATGGACAAGGCTGTTGGGCTCTGCCTCATGTGTTAAAACCTTGGAAACTCAGTGTGGAAGGAAAAGAGATAGGTCTCATTTAAAGCAGCTGAATACCACCTAAAAGAATCCGATTTTCTTCCTGCCTCTATTCCAGGCTTGGTTGCAGAAGCACTCACAGCTGCAGCTGAAAACTACCTGAGGTTATGTTTTCACCAGACAGGCAGCTTTTTGTTTTGACAGTCTCAGGAAAATTAGTACTCACGCAAAATAATTACCCAAATCATGCATTTTGCTTGTTTGTTTGTGTTTGTAACTACAATCTTTCCATGACATGCCTGCCTGTGGAGATAAGGCAGTTGTTTTACTTTGCAGAGACCAGGTAATGTATTAATACTTTAGAACCACTCAGTTGCTGTAGCGGTAAATACCATCAGAAACCAGAGGCAGGAACAAATATTGAATGGTGACTTCCATCAGGCTTCAGTTTCCATCAGCTTGTCCCAGTCTCTCACCACAGTCAGCACAGCTGCCTACTGGTTTTCTTCTTTCTGACAAGTGGATGGTAGATGTTTTGCAGTCTTGGCTTTGCCTTTTTCCTCCTTTGGCTGGTAAATCACAGCTCAGGTCCTCAGCAGGTACCACGAAGAGACAAGAATGCATGTGTTTCCGTGTCAGGTTTCTCATTCTTGAATGTTTAAGGCATCTGCATGTACCCTAGAATGAAAATAGGAAAATGCAACATCAGAAATTCTAATTACTGATAAGAAAAAACTTCCAGTTTGAGCAAGTGTTTTGAAGTGTGTGTGTGTGGTAAACATGGTTTTAGACAATTAGCTGCTGGGCTCACCAGTACTGTTACCTGCACTGAGTGAGGAAGAACTCTGCATGGCTAAATGTAGGTTTGGTTTGACCACAAAGATGCAATAGGATAGAATCTTAATTCTGAAGCTTTCTAACTGTGGAGAACCTTACTTTCTTCCATGACTTTTAAAAAAATGTTTGGTGTCATAGTTCATCACTCACCGTTACTGCCGTTCTGCAGTAGGCTCTGATAATTTATTGCTAGGAGTTTGATATTTAAACCTGCAAATTGTTGAACCCTCACTCAGAGCCATTTGAAAATGGTGAGGAGGGTAAGGTGTGTCAGCTTATGAAGTCTGCAGCTTGAAATATGTTATCTGGTTCCATTAAAATTAATAGAGCAATACACATATTTAAGTTCCATTTGTGCTGAAATGCCAGCAGTTTACAAGATTGTAGAAAAGATAAAATTGGAAAGAAGATGCAAGAAAAAAAGAGAAAAACACAACCCTGAAATGCCTTGATTTAGTTGGTGATAATATATTTTACTCTTGTCTATTGCTATGTTCTGCTGAGGGGCGCTCACTTTTTCTCTTAAAGTACTTTAACTACTTTAGTTTTTCTTTGTTGTTTGCAGAAGCCTGGAAGAGCAAGAAAAAACCCAAAGGAAGGCAGGAGGAGGACAAAAATATTTTGGATGTTTTGTTGTTGTTGTTTGATTGTTTTGGGTTTTTTTAATTACAGCAATGTCCAGAAGCCTTGCCACAGGGCTGTCGTTTCACTGGGCTGCATTTTAGAGCATGCAGCAAAAGGCTCCTAGGGTAATTTAAAACGAAATGCCGTAGGTACAGATAACTAAAGAGAAGGAAGATGGGTGTAGGTACCACAGAGAAGACCAGATGTTCACACAAATAAGCTGTAGCATGGCTTGATTGCTCTGAGTCTTTGTTGTTTGTTTAGGTTTTCTTAATTATAAGGAATAGATATCAGTGCCTTTCAAATCAGTGACAGCTCACTAGCAACTGGAGAACAAATTAATTAAGGAACATGGAAATTAGAGTGGAAAGAGAAGAGGGATTATCAGCAAACTGAAGAAACCAGAAGTGCAGTAAGATGGGAGACAAAGCAAGGAGCAAAAACTGTTATAAATCTGGATGTCAAACTTGGATGGATATATCAGAATGGGATTATTTTTTTCTCTAAGTTCATGGACCTTCAAAGGAGAAAAACCCCAATATAATAGTATTGGTTGCAAACCAGAAACAATTTTTTCCTGCCATTTTGTCTAGAAATGCATTTTCTAAATATATCCCTGCTTTATTTTCATTGTAAGGCTTTGTCATGACCTTCTTCAAAGCTCAGGAACAAGTAATATTGCCTAGGACCTTTTGTGGTTTAGTGTTTACAGGCTTTTTATACAGCAGCTTGAAGTTGTTTACTCGCCCGGGGCACTCTAAACTGGAAGGAGCAAGACTTTCCTTGATTTGATTTTGGTTTTTCCTTTTTTTTAAGTGTAAAGGTAAATCTTTAGGCAAACACAGTTGATGCCAATGCTTCTCAAATAGTAGAAACCCAGAAATTTTTTGCTCTTCTTTCTTGTGGAAGGTAGATAAGCAGATACTCAATTCACTCTGGGTCAGCATGAGAGAAAACAGGTGGATGGAGCTGGAGAAAGGCAAAGGTAAACCAGATACAAAGGGGATGGCTCTTTTCAGGAAGGCGTTCTGCATTGGAAAATACTGCACTAGAGGAAACAGTTATCTTTAATTCATTGGAACATTGCATGTGTCTTCTACTCTGTGGAATACTGACTTTCATCAGGAGAGGGACACATAAGGTTGGTTTGGCTTCTTGAAGGAACAAAGTAAAGAAAAGTCCAGCCTAGTGCAGACCTGGACACTAGGCCCAGAGGGAGAGCACTGCAGGGCACTGATCCCTTGTGGGTGCTGGCAGCGTAGCTCTGACTTACCTATTTTTGGGGTTGTGTGCCTAACTGCCTCCTCTTATGGAGGTAACACAGGGCCAGTTTGAGTACTTGTGCAGTACTGGAGGCATAGATGTAAAAGGGGATCTTCTCAACCTCTGTGCTGTCATTACAGACCCTCCAGTGATTCTTATTTGTTAACTCTTCTGTACTGAGGTAGCAATAAACAGACAAACTATAGGATACAGTTAATAGATGACTTACTTAAATAGACTTGCTAGCAGTTCCTCAAGTTTGAATTTGAAAGAGTATCTACTCAGTGGATTCTTACACTTTAGGAAACATAATACTCAGTGTCTGCTTCTGTCTGGGAATCCTGCCTACTTCTGCCTTCTGTCTTTCAGTGACTGGCTGATGATACTAGAGCACAGGGGAGATGTGAAAGCTTGAGTGATCTGGACTTAACGTGAAGAGCATGTATCTGCACTCAGATTTTAAATCACTGATTCTTTTTCTTCTGGTCTCTGACCTTTTCCTTAATGTGCTTGGGATGGGTTGTTTACTGATGTTTCTCATCCCCCTGGTTTTCAGGTGGTGGGCAGGGGAGTGGCAGAAATGTTCAACCACATGTGGCCCAACAGGCCTGAAGAAGCGAACTGTACTTTGCATCCAGACGGTGGGATCTGATGAGCAGGCACTGGCTGTGACAGAGTGTCAGCACCTGCTTAAACCAAAGACTCATCTGTCATGCAACAGAGATGTCTTGTGCCCATCTGACTGGACAGTGAGCAACTGGACTGAGGTAAATTCGTATTTTTTCCCACATGACCTGTTAGAGTCAACAGAGGGGAATCAGCGATTTTGCTTCTTTTAAATAATATTTTTTTAGGTTTAACATGTCTTCACAAATCTTTCGTGCAGAAGAAAAAAAGCTGCCCTGCTTGCTAAACACCTCAGAAAGTGGTGCTTGTTAACTGTTTCTTGATTTGCTGAGCTTTTGGGACTGTAGAACAGGGCATGTTTAAGTGCTGAAAAATCTTTGTGACACTCATGGTCTGCTCGTGGACCAGACTGGGGGGAGGCTCTGTGTGATGTCTGCAGGCCTACGAAGAAGTATTTTAACATTCTTTCCATTTGTATCTCTTGCATTCATGACACTACCTTTATTCCAATAGCTTGCAAACTTTGGAGATGTGGGAATTGTTCAAAGCTGTGTTCAGGCTGGACACTGGGAAGCATTTCTCTACTAGGAGAGTGGTCAAACACTGGAACAGGCTTCCCAGAGAGGTGTTTGATGTCCCCAGCCTGTCAGTGTTTAAGAGGAATTTGGACAATGGTCTTAACAGCATGCATTAACTTTTGGTCAGCCATAAAGTGATGAGGCAGTCGGGCTACATGTTCATTGTGGGTCCTTTCCAAGTGAAAACTCTGTATTTTCTTTCTTTGAAAACTCCTCTCTCCTTCTTTCTCCTAACCCCCCCCCTTTTTTTTTTTCATTAGACTGACTGCTGTGAGAACAGAGTCACGTAATGAGCTAATAAAATTTTGTGATAGTATTGATTTGGTTTATGCTGCTTACATACCATCATCACAGAATGTTGATTGCTTTGTTAATTGATCAACCACCATTTTTTAAATGCCTGTGAGAACACAGACTGGAGTTATATGACTAGCAGTACAATTATATAGAAATGGCCTGCTGCTGGTGCTCATGTGCCATTGGATTATATTTGCAATTTACTGACAAAAGTAAATTTTTACATCTGTAGAAACTAGAGAGGAAGTGTAGGACAGACTATTTCACCTGCACAAATGATAGGATTGTCAGGAAATTTGTAACTGCAGAATGTTCCTTACTGGTGAATGTAAGACAGAGATTTACACAGGTAAAAATTCCCGTTGCTGGAAACTGATCTGTCTGTTAGAAGATCCTTCTGTGTCTTATAAATTAAACATACTTAATTAGGCACATAATGAGGATAGAGTGTTGTAGCCATTCTGAAATCTCTGTTTAGTACATGACTGTAATCTAAAGCAGAGATCTTCTGGGAGAAGACATTACCCTGAAAAGTTAATAAGGTTGGATATTCCTTTTAACTTCCTTGAATGCTACTACAAATCATGCAAGTGGCAAAGTCTGACAAAGTTAAGTGAGTTGTATTTCTGTTTAAGAAGGAACATAGTGTTAGTTGTTGTTGTCTTCCTCAGTAATCAAAATCCTTTCCTGAATAACTTCAGAGGCCTGACTGCAGCTGAGGTGAGTTTACACAGCTCTGAATAATTGAACATGCTATTCATCTGGAAGTGCAAGGAGACAGAATAGCTAATGAACTTACCTAGTGTGGGGCTACACTGCTTGCTTCCCTGCTGCTGTTGCTGCACAGCTGATGTTATTTTACCGATGTGAATAATAAAGGGTGCCCCAGTAACACAAGGTCATTAGTATTTTACTGCCCTGTGACCTAAACCAGCTCTAAAAAAAAAATTAGATTTGCCGGGGACATTAGAGTGCTGACAAAAGGAGTGTTCATCACTTCATGTCAGGCACCTGGTTATAAACCTGCTGAGTCAGCTGGTCAGGCTCCCTCACATCCTAGGAAGAATTTCTCCAGTAGGTTGTTTGTAACATCTGCCCTCATACTCAACCAGCCAGCCAGCCACCAGAGAGATGTGATTTCACAAAGTCCTTAGTGGAGCAACAGCTGCCGAAGGCATGGCTATGCCTGCGGGTCTGAGGGTGAAAAACATCACAGAAAAACTGGGTCTCTTTAGCTTCCAGCATCCTTTATGCACAGCAGTGCTCCCATTTAAACAGAAGCCAGATAGGTTAATTACTTTCAGTAGTCTGTAACTGAGGAGGGACATGCTAGCAGCTCTGACAGCACTTGGTGGTTTCACCGTGACTAAGTGAAAAATCCGTTTCATAAAGTCAACAAGGGTCTGTGAGCTGTATGGATCATCACAGCAGGTCTGGGGCACGGTGAGCAGCACCGAGCCAGTCAGATGTGGGTTTGATTGCAGGTTTTTAGTCTGTTTTTTTATAATCCTGGTGGAAAAAGTGTTGGCTAAATGACTTATTGTGACTCAGTGAAGAAATCAAAATCTATTGTATTACTTTTATATTTTGTCTTCATCATGTAGTCTTTTTTCACTGTTGTTTCCTCAAGGTGACATTTACTGTTCTTAAAATTTGGAAAGAACTCCATGATAGCAGAACATCACTAGAATGAAACACTTGTTTTTCAAGAAAAGCTTTGTAAATCATTATTTGTAATGATGCTTCTTTATTATAAACAAATGTCATCTGATAATTATTGATATGTGCAGCAGAACAAAGAGGGGATGTGTATTAATTCTATTTCACTTGCAGTGCACAGTTACCTGCGGTGGTGGAATAAGGACTCGTAACGTCACTTGTGCCAAAAATAACGATGAGCCATGTGATAGTTCCAAGAGACCAAACTCTAAGGCCCTGTGTGGTCTTCAGCAATGCCCTTCTGCTGGAAGGTTCCTGATGCCCCCACTGGCACCCAGAAGAGGCAAGATCATAATTAGAAAAACAACTACTAATTCTGAACGGAATCTTCCTGGCAGGATTCTCAGACCAAGCCCAAGGTCCTACACAACAACAAAAACACCCAAGCCTGAAAGTGTAACTCCCAGTTTGCCTACATCCTCAGAAACAGAGGGAATAGCCAACAGAACATTACAAAATAATTTTGCTGGACCAAATGATGTTTACAATTATCCAGTTTTTTCTACTGAAAACAGTTCATATCAAAATACTACTTCATGGCCTCTTCATAACAGCTTAAGTACTGAAATTTTAAGGCCTTCTGAAAATACTTCTGAAAGTGAGCCAGTTTCTACTACAGAGTGTGAGATGCACAGAAGTGAGGACACTCCTGTTTCATTGTTTACTAGTAATCCAGAAATAACCTCCAGCTATGATTACTTAACCGAAGAATCTGATGACATTGATGGGCCTCTTGGAGTCAGCAAGAAACCAGCTGATCTCTTTTACAGCACAGAACTCAATTCTGAAATCAGAACCAGAAGCACAACCCTAGACACTGTCTCTTCTCTCCTTCAAAATGAGAGCACGACTCCCCTGTCCCCACCAGCATCTCACCACCAAGACCCTTCTTTGCTGCTTCCTGATAGCAGAGCAGCACAAGGGCTGGCATTTCCAACAACAGCAAACTATATCAGCCTGCAGGTTGGTGTGCCTGTTGTAGAAGTAACTACCCCACAAGCACCAGTTGCAGAAACACCTACAGTGCTTGGACATGTACCAAGAGACCAGACTGACAACAGAAAAGAAGCAAAGCTGCCTGACACAGTAACTACCAGCATGCAATCCTCAGCTCTTGAGCATGCTCTGAGGAACCAAAGTGCAACATCTGAGGGTGTTTTAGTGAATGCCACAGAAAACAGCCATGTAATAGCATCCAACAGTTTGCCTGGTGATGCCTACTGGATAGTAGGCAACTGGAGTGAGGTAAGTTGTTTTTAGCTTGTCAGAATTGGAGAGTGTGAACAGCTGACTGAACCACTGCTGAAATGAAACAGTTTGTCAAGATTATCTGAAATCAGTACGATACATTCATATAAAATACTTGACACTAAAGAGTTAGTAACTTGGGATATCTAGATTGCTTACACAGAGTGAATATAGTCATCAGGGGGCCTGGCCATATGTCACAGACTTTTATTTAATATCTTTCCCACTGTAAAATTTTGTTTTTATGTAAACAGAGTTCTTTTTATGTGAATGAATTTTATATGTTTGAAATCATGGTACCTAAAGTGAAAGACTTCAGTATCTGAACTAATTATCTTATTCTTCTAAGGCCTTTTTTACCAAGCTAAACAGGGTCAGATCTAGAAAACTCCTCGAACTGATCTGCCTCTTGTCTCAGTATTGATGGAGAAGGTCCGTTTCTCTGTACCTGCTTGCCCTTAGCTCTGCCTTGAACCTTTCAAAATTATAGAATTGCAGAAATGCAGGGACAACAAGAGATGACCCATGTGTATCCCATGGCAGTGGAGGCACATCTAGACCACTGAGATAGTGTCGGTGTCCTCTGTCTGGATGCAACCAGTGGGTAAGACCCCTGAGGAACAGCAGACTCTGTCACCACCACATCAGTGGTTGTTCAGGACATGTGTTCCTGATGGCAGTTTGAAGTTCCATCTTGTGTCCTCCCACGGCCAGGTGAGAATGGCCTTAGCTTCCCATGTTCTGGTGAGACAGGTGAAGCATTTCCTCCTGCACGTGCCTGAACAGCTGCATTTAGATCTGCTTGGGTGAAAGAGTCTACAAAAGAATTTCAGGGGAAAGGTTGTACCCCCAAGCCCACCACAGCCTGAGCAGAGGTCTAACACAGAGATGCTGCAGTCTGTCCTGGTCGTTCATTATCCATCTTAGAAATATTTTCCTTGTACATAGCCGAAATCTTCTGTACTGGAAATGAGGAGTCCCCTTTATTATATGCAGACTATGGAGAAAAATTTTCTTCTTAATAACTGTTTTGAGGTCCAGTTTCTAAATTCTTTTCAGATTTTCCTTGTGTTTTCTAAATATCTGGTGACTTTGTTGTTCTCATCTGGACTTGCTTCAGTTTCATCACATATTTCTTCATCAGTGACATTTCATTGTGGCCCCAGCTGACACATGGCATATAAAATGGAATAATTGCTCCCATTTTATTTATTACTGTCTTTGTGAATGCTGGAATCAGATTTGTCTTGTTTTGTAACCATCTCACTTCCACTTATTGAATTTGTGGTCCATTGTAAACCCTGGATCCCTTAAGACAGTATTTCTGGATCAGCAGATGTCAGATGTTCTCAGTTATGTTTGGGAGATATATATATATATATATATATATATATATATGTATATGTGTTATATATAGATAGATATAGATATGCATTAAAAGTTTTCCCTAAATGCAGTATTTTGCATGTATTTTTTGAATTTTGCTGTTTTCTTATAGTTTTTAACATGGTGAGGTGTATTTGAATTCAGATTTCAACATTTCTGGCAATTCTCCAAACTTGTCATTACCTGCAAATGTTTAAAGCACATGCATTATTCAGTTAGTTAATGAAAATACTGAAGAGAGCCTGGCTTTGGACAGAGCCCTGCAGGACTATGTTTGAAGTGTCAGTTCAGTTTGACACGGAATCAATAAGGACCACTTTACTACAGTTTTTCAGTTAGCTGAACACCAATCTTGTAATTATTTCACCTAGACTATATTTCCATCATTTTCTAAAAGAATGTTTTATACAAACATGTAAAAATGCATCATGTCAGCTGGCTCCTTTTCTATATTAAGCCACGTGCCCCTGTCAAAGGATATTAGACTCAACTGAGTAGTTCCTTCTATATAGGTCCATGTGAGCTTTTATGTTGCTTTATCATCTTTGTTAGTATTTGCCATTTTGATCTTTGTTATTCACTAATTTGGCTTTTATTTTCTTGTGAAGTCAAGTTGGATGAAGAATTCCATTAGGCCACAGATAGGACTTTTTGTTTTCCTAAAAATAGCTTGAAAGATATTCTGATTGAATCCTCTGAGACTTTTCCAATCTATGGAAAAAATAATTCTCAGCAGTTCAAAGTTATTGAAGAACACTTGAATGAATGTTTAGATAAGATCAATATATTTGGGTTCATAGAATTGATGAAATCAGTTTGAGGATACCTTATGTATCTAACTTTGCTATTCTTTAATGATTTGGTAATCTTCTGCTATTCTTGTTCAAGGTTTTGTATCTATTAAAATTAACTTAGTGGAAAGTGTGTCACGTTTAACTTTTTTTTTTACAAGTTTGAAGAAGGAAAAGTGATGAAAAAAAGAGAATTTGTGGAATCTCCGTCCTTGGAGATATTCTGAAGCCATCTGGACATGGTTCTGGGCAGCTGTCTCCAGGTGGCCCTGCATGGGCAAAGGTCCTTTCCAACCTCAACGATTCTGTGATTCTATTAATAGTTAGCTATTATCTTTCTTATGAAATAAAAGTTACGTATTTTAGACACACATCTTGATTCTAACATTCGCAGAACCTTCTCTTTTTGTTCATTACCTTTAACTAATTTTTAATCTACAGTTTTTTGACTTTACTTTTTCTCCTATTTACCTGTCCTTAGTAAAACTTTGTGGGTGTCTTTAGCTGGCATCTGTCCAAGGCATTACTATTTCAAGACCAGTGCATCTACCTAGATGAAAGTCTTGCTATGCTCTCTCTTTCTGTTTTAGTAACTACCAACATTCTGATGGTTTTTTGCTCTTTATGATATGTCTATACTTGTAAATAAATAATGCCCAAGAATAGTGATAGTCACTGAGTGGAATGGTGTGACATGTCCTGTGCTGGCACTTGCCTCCCAAGGGAGAGCACTAATGTGAATAGGGCAAAACAGTGCCCAGTTCCACTGGTACTTCTATCTGTAACTTCTGCTGTCTTTCCTACTACTTTCCCAGGTCATTCTGGGCTGTCACTTCTACCTTTCTAGGAGCTTTCTGGGTACCAAAGATATCCCATTACCACCAGCCCTGCTCATTCTGCACCTCTGCTATTGGTCATGAAAAGTCACCTGCACTTTCTACCCCTCTAATCGACATCTGCTGTGACAAGAGGGAATCTTGGTTCCCAAATGACAAAAGGGAAAAGCAGTAAGTCTTCACAAACTTCAGAGCAATCTGTCTCCTTTATGTAGCATCAAACAGCAGTCAAGAAAGCTAAGGCTTTATGCTTTATGTTGCACTGTTTGGAGCATCATGCCTTTCCCTCTTGAATCTGTACCTGCACAAAACCTACCTACAGCAGGTTTTGAAAAAATCCTGCTGTATTTCACCTTCCTCAGACAAGATTATAAAACTTTAATAAGTATGATCTACCCAGCACCATCCCTGGAGCTGTCTTTGATCTTCTCGTGTGTGCTCAGAATGGGGCTTTGGTCAAAGACTGAGCACCCCATCGGTAAAGTCATGGTGTTGTCAGACTGGCATAGCAGAGCTGAGAAAACCGTCAAACAGTCAGCAAGCAAGACAAGGGCGGTCCATCCTCTCAGGCAGAGAAATTGTCCTGGATAGATATGTCACCAGGGAAAATTGAACAGTGGTATGTATTTTCCTTTAACAGGACCCTTGTACACATGTTCTAGGAATCTCCACGTCTTCAATGCTGATATTTTTCCTGCCTCGTCTTCAGCTTAGGTTTCCTTATTTTTCCAAGAACACTTACTCAACTTTCCCACTTCCACAAAAGGAGTTCAAACCAAACAATAGCAGTTGCTTTCTACATCATTTTGCTGATTATTTATGCTGTTTCTCATGCCCACTACAGGTTGCTTGGTGTGTGTTGGTTTTGATTCTATATGTATAGTTGTTCACTATCTCTCCCTTTTTAAGGAAGAAAGAGGTAAATGGATGTCTCCAGCCACTCTTCACCCCTTCCTGCTTCAGAACACAATGGCAGTGTTTGACTTTTTTATGAGGAGTGTGCATTTTTGGGATCTGGACTGGAGTAATCAGTATTCTCTTACCTCAGACACCAAAATCCTCCCAAATGTTGATAACACTCCATAACTTCCTGAATTAATAATTTTAAAAAATCTTTTTCCTGTACATTCTCTCGTGTTTTATTTAAGATTTTCAGCATCATGCTCTTAATTTGCAGACTATCTCATGAGGAATATTAGGGATAGAGAGGGAGCAATGTTGGAGATAGGATGCAATTACACTGTACCTTGCATCCCCAAAGATAACAGAAGAAAACAGTGGAATAGCTGATACAGATTTAGAGTGTTTCAGTAAGCAGGAGTTTGCCAAAAGAAAATAATTGTTTAGTATAGATCAGAATTGATGCTGTCTTAACAAAGCAATGGAAAGCCTTCTTTCAGAATATTAAGTAAAATTCAGGTGAGTTTGAAGTCTTCTTTTGAGTTTCTCAGGCAACCTAGATCATCTAAAATGGCTCTAGATATTTATATTTATGTTCCAGGATTGTTGCTAAATGATGTACCGATGCTGAGTTTTCCCCTGAGATTTCCTCTTACCCTTCTGCAGTGCTCCACCACCTGTGGAATGGGGGCTTTCTGGAGACTGGTGGAGTGCAGCAGCAGGAACACATCTCATTGTCAGCACATCAAAAAGCCTGATCCTGCAAGAAAATGTTATCTCCGCCCGTGTGCTAGCTGGAAAACAGGAAATTGGAGCAAGGTAACTTCATTCAGAGCTGTGTGTCAACAGTAAGCTTGCAAATTTCAGTGAGTAGGAAATTCTAAGTACTTCATTTTTAAAGCAATTATTTACTCAGTGGTAATGCATACATGGTTCCCAGTTGACCATTCAGCACTAATTTTCCGATTTCCTAACCAAGTTATATCTAGATACACATCTGCTGTTGATTTTGTTCTTCCTGTGGTAGGTTGTGCTCATTAACTCTTGCATCCTGCACCAAAGCAGGGCTCACTGTTCATGTTCTATGGAGATCACAGGGCAAAGCTGTACATATTTGGTTGTGGCATCTTTTTGATCTCTGTCTCCAGAGGCATCTCCTAGTTTTAAGAAGCAGTGGGAATTTGGAAGGAGGAGTTGTCATGTTCCTATTTACCCTTGTCACCATATATTATCTCTTATGTGACATGATCTGTTCCCTATCCATTTAATCTCTAATTTTTACATTTTAAAAATGAAAGAACATAGTACTGGGGAGAATGCCTCCTATATGTAGAGTCCTGTTTGATCCTAGTTGTGTACACATGGACTGGTCAAAGGACAGAATAGTGTCCAGGCTGGTAAGTGAAGCCCAAGGAATTGTGTGTGATTTAATGTTGATTTAATAAAAAGAGGTGTCTCACTCTTTTTTAGTACATACCATTTTTGCGGACAAGGTTGTTGCCACTGGGCTAGAGGGCAGATTTGTACAAAGAAAAGATTATAGTTACAAAACCTGTGCTATATTATTAAGCTCTTTGACATAGAATTGATTTGTACAGGAATTACATGCCTGTTTAGGAAGTTCAGGAAAGGCCAAGGCTTTACATAACTACATTTAAGCCTTCAAAATTCATTTTAAATGATACATAGACACTGTGCAGTCCCATTTGCAGTAGGGCATGTTTCACCTTCACTTTTTCTTCATAAATGTCACTGCTCTTGCAAGAAGTGAATGATAGTTATGTCAAAAAAAGTAGCTAGAAATAAGGCTTAATGATAAAATATCATGGCACACAAATTTTTAAGTGTCAGTCCAATTGTGAAAACAGTTTAAAGCAAAAGGCTTTTCCTAACAGATTTCTACTGTGTTACTCGCCCTTATTTTCCATATTGAACTAGACAGGCAAACCTAATTACAATTTAATATATAAAAATTACTAACTTTTGTTTACTTTACACGTGAAATTGTTTTTTGTTACTCATTTCCAACATATTTAAGGCACCGTATCATATCAAGATGGCTATGTTCCCCTGCTAGTGTAGTAGAGCTTTTTCTGTTCCTTTGCTCTTATCTAATTCTCCCCTTCCCTAAAAGAAAGGTGCTTCAGATTAGATCTTACAGTCTGCGTTTAATACTAGGTATCACTTCCACATATTTTGGGGCTGTTGTACTTATTTTTTTACAGTCACTTCTGTCCACTCTTTCTATCCAGAGGGACAGAAACTCCCGTGGACAGGAGTATGGATTTCCTCCCCATCCATTCTTCATCTCCCATGGGAGGTATTATGTTCAAATTCTTTGCTCAACTGAAGAATGGTTATTTATGCAAAAGAGAACAGCATTTGTTGCTATTGCAGCATGGTGGTAAAGGTGAAAGCTGATCTGAGGTTACTCAGTGGTGTAGCTGGAATTGGCTTTAATTCTGGATGAAGTAAAAATGTGTATTTTTCCTTATCCTTTGAAGAGAAAATTCACATCTTCCTCAACAACAGGAGAGTTCCTGACCTTTGGTGTCTGGGGACAGGACCTGGTGATGCTGCATGAGGCCTTGGAGCAAGCTCCAGAGAGAAATAGGAGGCTGGAAGGGCTCGCTTAGCTCACCAGCAGAGCTCTAAGCTGAGAAGTGATTTCCCAGGCTATGAATGAGGCTCAGGGTGCCTCTCTTCTTTCTCATTCTCTCACACCCTGGCTGCTCGTGGGGTATGGAACCCCTTTGTGGCTTGGAGGAGTAAGGAAGGTGAGGGTGGGAACTGCTACTCCCTCCTTCCCTCCTTCGGAAAAAACTGACATTCTCCTTGCATACAGAATTCATTTTTTGTATTTGTTGCATTATGACTCTTTCACTGTGACATTTTTGGAAATAATTGTCAAGATTTCCCAGTTAAATACACACCCATGTCATTAATGGACATGGCAATGAAGGAAGGAAAATACTTACATGGCGTTTTCCAGTTTGCTGTAATGAGACCCACAGTGTTTAAGCCTTACAACAGGTTGTTGCTATGGTAAACTGGAAATTCCCTCTGTTCAGGATTCTCAGAGCTCTGGCCTTCCTGCTCCTCTGTGACTGGGGGAGGTACAGCCCCTCAGCAGAGCATCACTTGGAGATGTGCCCCTTTCTGTTTTGTGTGCAGTGCTCTGCGAACTGCAGCGGTGGCTTCAAGACCCGAGACGTTCACTGCATTGATGTCCGTGAAAAGCGACTTCTCAGGCCTTTCCATTGCCAGTTACTCGGATATAAACCACAACTCAGCACTAGGTGTAACACAGAGCCTTGCTTGCAGTGGCATGTGGAGCCCTGGAATGAGGTATTGTCCTTAAAAAGAAGCTTTGGGAATAAGCAATTACCAGTCAGGTAACAGTGACTGTCAGATCCCGTGCTGTTGGGTAAACTTGTGCTCAAAGGAAGACAGCAGAACTGGTGTGTACCACTCTGCAGTCCTTGTGTATGGTTACAGCAAGAATTGGCATAGATGTTCATCAGACTTCCCAGAATCATTCTTGGTATTGCATGTGATACACAACCAGAGCTGTAAATCACTGTGCCCTGAAAGAGAGTAGTAGATGGCCTGGAAAATGATTTGTTTTAGCTATTCTATTGGATCAGTAAATGTGGTTCATTTAGATTAATTTCTTTTGCTGCCATTTTAATGTTGCTTTCTCATGATAGTAAATTTAAAGTCTTCCTTTCCCTTCAGCTTTTGGGCTGAAATTTTATAGAGCCGGAAGCTTAAGCCAGACAAAGAAAAATTTATCTGACTTTTAGGTCCCTTTGTAATATAAATCTGTTCCAACGAACTCATAGGCAGCCAGGTACATATTTGTGTCAGCTAAAGCACGTGTTCTGATTACATTTTAGTGTTTACTCCCACTAAAAGCAGCTCTGGAGACAGCACCGTGATGTTTACAGCCCTCTGGACCTGATGCTTCTGCATTTCAAGGGAGGTGATCACATTGTTCTTTGCAAGACACTGACAAAATACACCTGCAAGAAGGAGAAGAGCAGGATATGTGATTTCTATCAGAGTAATCAGCAAGGGTCAGAAAAATAAAAATAGCCAAATGATTGCAACTGTTTGCCAGCTAAATTAAAAAAAAAAATCACTTGTCAAACCCTGACAGTTGTCCCTCATGCTAAGGACACTGGATAGAATTGGATTGAAAAGGTTCATTTATCAGATGTCAGACAGAGTGCTCTGTCCATAGGGATACAGTTACTTGTAGGACAGGATGCAATTGCTTTTAGAACAGGAACAATGCACTACTTACAGTATATCTGGCATCTTGTTTCATGCCACAGTGTGAAATACTTTGTGTATTTCAAGCAGGCTCTGCTGTAGACCAAGGGAAAAAATAGTAAAAAATCAGTGAATAACTAATACTGTAATGTGGACAGAAGAATGGTTAGAAAATAACTTAGGTCACTGTCTTTGTAGTGTATATATTTTATATATATATGGTGTATATATAATAAAAGTAGACACTTTTATTGCCAAATAGGTCATTTATTTTATGGACTGAGTGAATTTTAATGTTCCCAACCACCTCGTAAAAATGAGATGCTGCATCTCATGAACTTGTTCTTTCTTCAGTAAGTATTACAGATTAATCCTGCAGACATATGACTTCCAATCTCATTCTTGTTAGAGAAGCTACTGGTGCCAGTGATGCTGATGAGCAGTTCTGTGTTCCCTGTTCTGAGCAGCCACTTCCATGCTGTCCTGTAGTCCTTGCAATAATACATGTCAGGAGCAGTTTTTCCCCAAGTAACAGCTTATTTCCTGTCTGCTTCCAAGCATAGGATGAAATGTCTCCATGCAGAGCTTCTCTTTATGCCTAGACTTTAGGACTCGATGTGCAGGCTAGCCTGCACATCTTTCCAAATCCCATGGGTCAGTGACCTTGTTACCTGTGGCTTGACATTTCTGAATAAACATTTCCAACTGTCTTTATGGTCTGTTTTTGTGTTTTTACCCATTCCCACTTCTTGTTGTGCTCCTCTTTTGTTAGTGTTCAAGAACATGTGGTGGTGGCCAGCAAAAGCGACACATCTACTGCCCAGAAGAAGGGCACTGTGACTGGACCAAAAGACCCAATGCCACTGCATCCTGTAACAAGCAGCCTTGTACACAGTGGATTAACCAGGCCTGGAGCCCGGTAGGATTCGGTCTATTTCTGGTTTGGTTTTTTGTCATGAGTTGGACATTTTTGGTCACATTATCCACTTGTCTTTGAACCCCAGACATGTGGCAAGGGTAGCTTCTTATTCACAGCTGAAACTACATGTGAAGAACTTTTGAAAATATTACTAAACATTTCATAGCCAGCCCATCTCTGTTCCTTCAGCTGAGAGGTTTTGTAACTTCTACTTTTTGTTGCTGCATTAGATGTTGTTGAAGGGCTGGGGTTTTTAACTTATCTAATAAAAAAGAGATAGCATTTACATTCTTCCATTGCTCATCTGAAATTTTCCACCGTTCAAGCTATTGGAGGGGGTTGGATGATCCCTAAAGCAACTTTGTGGAATATTGGACTTGACCATACAAAGAGAAAATCTGAGTTTTGACCAATAGCCTTCTACTTTGACACCTGGAAATCTAATGGGCAAATATAGGACATGTCTTTGGGGAACCTTCCAGTATCTGCAACACATGTTTATTTATAAAGAAACTGGTATTTCTAATAAATCTTCCCCTTTTTTTTCCCCTAATAAACACTGCATACATTACAAACATCCTCACAGCACAATAGGATATTGAAGGAATGGTAAAAGCGGGAACCACAAGTGAGGAAACAATGGAGACTTATGTAACACATAAAATGTAATGAGTTGTTTTTGACACAAAGCCATTAGATTGGGCATGACTACAATGTAATGTAAAGTTAGTGTAACACTTAAATATGGAAGAGAAATGCATAAAATCAGCACCTGAATGCAAAAAATTATGACAATTATTTTACTGATTTATCAATCCTATAATAATATATTAATTATTAATGTTACTTTATTAAAAAGATTTTAAACATCAATATAAAGTTGTTGCAAGAGTACCTAAGATCTTTTAATGTGCTTCACACCAGTACTATTGTTTCTTATGCACAGAAATATTCGTTACAGCAAGGATAATTTGCAGAAAAATTAGAGAGGTACCAGTCCTGTCTTCATCTTTGGTGCTTCATCACCTGACATTTATTATATATAGGGCACTATTTATCTGAAGAGGAAAAAAACCCTTAAAATTGATTGGAAATCCCAGATGCTCTTGGAAGGCTGAAGAATTAAATATATTTTTAAAATGTTCTTTTTTTATGGCCACCTGTATGCAGCTAGAACAAGCAGCTAGCAATTCTTTTGTGGTTGTAAAGAAAGGGTAACCCCTGTGTAAGTGTCACAAAACAAACAATATTTCACTGAGCTTTTTTTAAAAAATCTTATCTTGGCCATTTGTGGACGTAACATTGCAATGATTATACATGTTTAACTTAGATAGTGAGAAAACACAGGATGCAAAAAAGGTCCTAATTTGTCCTAATTTGGTTAATTACTGTCTTATTTTGTAGGAGTGATCATCCCTTCTCAGTAGAAAACAGTCCTCTCCCCCTTGTTACACATTCCAAGATGCTATATTTATACTATTTACCCTTCCACTGTATCTTGCCTAATCTGGCCACAGTACACCATGGAGATGTCTGGATAGAGCACATAGCACACAAAGTAGTGTGAAGTCATTGGTTCAGGATCATATGGCATTTTTAGCCTTCTGTCACATTATAGCGCAAATATTGGCATACTACAAAATTTTAATGTAAAAATATTTTTATATATGTTAAATTTACTCTCTTTCAGTGCACTGTTTCTTGTGGAGGGGGCTTTCAGCAAAGAACTGTGAAATGTGTGAAGACAGAAACTAATGAAACTGAAGATGACAGTATGTGTGTGGACAAAGCCAAGCCAACAGAGCATCAGAAATGCAATCTGCAAGAGTGCAGGAAACGTACAGGTATGGTAATACACCTGCATGAGACAGTTTCCAAAAAGCTCTCCGTTTGTGATGAGATTCTTCAAAAGAATCTGTCTTCTCAGTCTATCAACTTCTTTTGAGTACTGTGGGCTGAGTACTTACAGGTCAGCCTGACCTGCTGCTGCTCAGCTGCTTTGTTGGCAGAACCACACTGTTGTGTTCCCCTGCCCTCCTGGCCTTCTGTTGCCATGAGGAGTGCAGTTGTCTGAGCATACATCCCTAATTTATGATACCAAAACTAAATGAATAGGCCTGCTCATATTGGCCTATTTTAGGTAACTCGGGCTACACAGAGGACTGTGGAAGGACATGCAGCCTGAGGCCAAACAGATGCCATTTCTTAAGATAGATTCCCCTGTGGAAACTGCAGATTCTGGACAGTAAGCTCAAGCAAGCAAATTCTTACAGAGAAACACTAAGACAAATCAGTGTCCCACACAATAGGACTGTCCAAAATGAAGAGGTGGGGAGAAGCGACTTAGGGCGACCTGTACCTCTCTTGTTCAAAGGCCCAGGAGCCCAGTGGTGTAGATGGTTAATAGCCCAGAAGAGGTGTTAAGGGAAGGAGGAAGCTTACAAAAGAGTACTGTAAGTTATCTGTAGCCTGTGTACTGCAGTATCCAGCTGGTCCCCTCAGGTAAGAACAGCAATAGCTCAGAGTCCTTCTAGAAAAGCCTTCAAAAGCCTTTTGGAGGATGATTCATAACTCTTAGTAAGTCAGTGGTAAGGATCTAATTTGGCAATGAGACATGGGTTTGACTCCTAAGGGCAGTGCAGATATGACATACCCTTGAGAGCGATGCATCACTCCTGCTGCTGTTCATAGATGTTTAGCACGTTTTGCCCTAGGGTTGGATTGGTCTGCTTATTTTCTGTCCCTCTCACGTTCAGAAAGACAGATTCAGATAAATACTGCCTACACAGGTTAGCACTAGTTATTAGAGTATTTCTGTGAATAAAACTCAAGTGGGCCATAAAACACAAAAAATGCCCTACTGGGTAGGACACTTCCATACAGCAGAACACTATGTCTCACTTGGATTAAGAGTGATTTGGCAAGTTCTTTTGCCAGTTCCCATATTACTCTGCGTGGATCGCATCAGGGCTCAGAGACTCATGAGTGTCCACTTGGCATAGCAGGTCACTAACTGTCTCCTCCTGGATTATGGGGGCTTCACTCAGCATACCCTCCCTAAATTCCAGCTCTGGAGCTGGGTATCTTGAGGACATCTGTTCCAGAGGCTCACAGCCTGGTGTGAAAAGAATCACTTTTATCTTTTTTAATCTGCCTTTATTCTAGTTCTCGTTGAGTTTCTCTAGTTCCAGTGCTGAGGCGTTTGCTGAACAACAGCCTTGCATTCAGCTAATGCACCATCTTCCTGCCTTTGCACACCCTGTCTTCTCACAGCTGAAGATCCTCAGTTTCTCATATCTCAGTTTGGCACATCTCAGTTTATTAAAGCTACCACAGATCTATCAGCACCATAGTACACACAGGACCATTATCTGTCTTATTGTGGTGCTGCAGAAATTGAAGCATAGCCAAGCTGAACATATAGTTGCATGTGCTTTGTCTGTGCTCTCCTGCCTGCCCTGCCTTGCTCTGCATCACTCTCCCAGCCCACTGCACTTGTCTCAAATGCAGTTAGAAGAATGCAAAAGTACCAGGCTCACTAGTCATTGCTGCTAGGCTTTTCCTGGCAGTCCTTATTGACAGAAATGTTGAAGGGAAAAACATAGATCAGCTCTGTCTGCTACAAAAGTAAAGTCTAACTGAACAGCAATGAGTGCTGCATTTTCCAAGACAGAAGGTCATGTGTTCACTAAAAGATCCTAGAATTTCAGGGGGATCAAGCTGACCTGTAATACAAAGGAAGAGAAGGCTATTATAGATAAGAACCTTGACAGACAGGACTGGCATAAAGCAGTTCAAAATCCTTGAACTACAGACAGTCCATCAGCAAAATATAGCTAATTCTTCTCATCTTCTCCACCACAGGGCTGCCCTGCACCAAAGACCAGCTGTCAGTTCACTTCTGTCAGAGGCTGAAAGGCATTGGCAAGTGCTTGCTGTCATCAATACAGACTCAGTGCTGCTTCACGTGTAGTCAGCCCCGAATCCGTAACAAAGCAAGATATGGAGATCAGCAAGGCCTCAGACAACAAAATTACACTAAATCTAGAAGAAAATCACCTCAAATCCAAGAAAACAACAACCAAGCAGCTTGGCACTAGCTGTTATTATCTTTTTGCTTTGAGTAGGGCTTCTGTTTACAGGTTTTATGTTCCTTATTTTTTTCTGAACCATCCAACATAAATGGAAATCTGTGATCAAAACCGGGAAAACACATTGCCTAGGGTTATAAGTCCTAATTTACTGCTTCTTTCTCTTTTTTTCTCTGTAATAGTCCAAAAATTGTAACATAATTTGCAAAGTACCAGCAGCTAGTACTTCTTAGGCATGCATAGGTGCTAGAAACAAGCTTGCAAGAATTTTCCGATTGTTTTAATTGAATGTTTTACATGTTCTTTCTTCCATCTCTTTTCTGAAACCAACTTGAAACACCAGTACTGCTTACTCGAGAGTGTTTAGTGAAGGTGGGCAGTTGGGCAGCAGACACAGACTTGCACCATGGGCCAGTTCTCTTTGAGGCCACTTGCCTTTCTTTCTTAGAAATCCAGGTGAAGTGGCAGTGTTTCTCTAAAGTCATTGCTCACTTCATAAATTTAAAAGCAAAGCTTCATAATAACTGTTTGTGGTAGGCTGAATTGAAACATTGGATTTTTCAGAAGAAAAGAAAACTTCATTTAATACTTGATTGAACCTCTTAAGGATACCTCAGCCATAGCCTGTTATCACCAGTTTTCTTTTGCTACAAATGTCTTGCCGTAAGCTGAGAACCCCATCAAATACGGGATGTTAAGTTCTCAAATATGTTTTAACCTTTCTTGGTACCATAAAAGCAAAGCTGTTTGTATCTACCACCTTAATGGAGTCATAGAATCATTTAGGTGAAAAAGATAAACAAGTCCAACCTCTCACCCAGTACTGCCAAGTCTACCACTAAATCATGTCCTTAAGTGCCACATCTACAGGTCTTTTTTACACATTTAGGAGAGAAACCAGCAATATCTGTTATACAGTTTTATACAGTCCATTTGATAGAATAATTTAATTATAAAGAAGTTGTTGGTTTTGCAAATGTTTTTCTAGACAGCTAGTGACATTTTTAGGTCTCATATATCATTTGTAGTTCCTCTCCATAATTAACTGTCCAAAGCCATTTGAAGTCAGATAAAGCAAGCCTTCCAAGTCTTATGACATTGCTGCAGGTGTTCAAACACAAATGGTACAAGTCAACAGAACATATAAAGCTATCAGGAAACTGATGTAGCATAGAGGTTGTACCAGGTTGCTCTGCAGCAAGAATTCAACTTCAACTTACCCTTTGGAAAGGGTGTCTTGGTGGTACTCTATTGACATCTCACTTCCACCAGTGTTATGTAAGTGGTCAGCTCCATTTAGATTAAGAATATTACTACTGCTAAACAGAGGAATAATTTCCACTGTTTATGGCACAAAGAGTAAAGGAGTCACACATTGAGCGAGCAAAAGATCTCTAAACTCACGTAGGTAAGGACAATTTGAAGTTGAGTCTTTCGAGTTTGAAGACCAAAGTCTTTCTGTTGTTTTACGAACTACAAAAAGAGAGGAAAGAACAATGAGCTGACTCAGCTAAACAGCTTTGCAAATGCCATGTTAACTCATATGGCAAAAATTCAACTTTACAGACTTAAACCTTCCTTGCAGCTTCAAATGTGGCACACAAACGTTTCAGCTGGAAAATTCCCATACCACTTTTTGAAACCAATTTTACAGGATTGGCATAAAGGCCAGCTTGCAACTGGAAACTTTGCAGTTCACACCAATATTCAGTGATAGAACTGTTATTTAATCCATTATCTCCCAGTAGTGGTGCAAGTTCATGTCCACAAGAGCACTCTATCACCTTGTTCTCAGCAAACTTTTCCCCTAGTGCAAATCCTTGATCATAATGAGGATGAGGGGCACCTGGGACAGGAATTTATGACCCAGAGTAGTGTCTGCATGGGTCAGGCCTCAGGCCTTAGGAGACCACTAGCCAAATCTGTTTTGCTATTGAAGAAACTGGCAGAACAAACTTCAGGGAGCCACAGATGGCCCCTTAGAACAAAGCTGGATATTTTCAAAGGAGCTGGACAAGAGCAGACACTCTTAGATTCCTTTGGATTTCAGTGGGATTTTGACACCTTGGTTCTACACTCAATTTAGAAAATCTCAGACTTATTCCCTTAGTTACATGAGATTTTAATACAGGGAAACATCACATTTTATGCAGTTCAGATTGAGACACAAAGCCATGAATCCAAGTGTCACAATGGTTACAGAACTGTGACTAGCAGTAGCCCTCTTTCTAGACAGAGCTTTATGAAAGTCAATAGAAATATCTTGGCCTGGCTGTAATGTATTAACCTAATAATGGCCACAAGTCGAATTGTCCTTTATCAAAGGTTTGTGACCTTTGGTTAAGGACTCGCTTCTTCACTTGAAGTCTCTGGGAGTTCAAAATACGCAGCATGGCAAGGTTAGATTTATTAACCTCTGTGATGGCAATATAACGCCAGTTATAGGTGCTGATAAAATCCACTGTTAATAATGTGGTGCTATATAATGTGGGGATGACTTACAATGGTGCATGTGCACTCTTACAATAATGGATGTCTCTGGTGTTGCTGGCCAGTGCCAGACATGATGCTTTTTAAGTTTCACAGTGTGCTTTAGTCCTTCTGAGGACCTGAATGGCTGCTGACCCTTTGAGCAACAGAAACCTGGGCAGTTCTTATTCCACTGGACACAGAATTATTGTATCGTGTGGGGAAGCAGAGGTGTCCAGTCAGATTCAGGAAGCATTTGGCAGGGCTTGGCTTTGGGCTGCATTGTGTAGAGCAGTTATCTGACAGCCAAACAACCCAGAGTGGTGGTAAGTGCCGATGATTCTTATATTTCCAGAAGCATCTTACAGGATCTGGGCAGGACAGAGTTAAGTTCACTTCAGGATTGGACTCTTCTGTGCTCAGAGGTCCCTGCAACTTTTTATCCACAGAGGTCAGCAGAAGTGGGCCATCAGGTATGTGGGCTAAGGAGAAAGGAGCTGACTGAGTGGATATAGTGCAGGTGGGAGGAAGAAGGCCTGTGAGGGTTGGCCTTTCCGGTGCTCGTTAGGGCTACCATGGAGTAAAAACATTTCTGCCTTCATTGTTTTCTTCAGGGAGCTGTAATTTCATTTGAAATTAATAAAAGGTGAATAAATTAAATTATGGATATTAATCAAAGTAATCTTTCAACCCAGGGAAGCACAGTCATCACTGTTGCTCAGCTTAAAACTTTAGGAAAAAGACTGTGACAACACGAACTCCTTCAACAGAGCAGTGCCACTGCTATTATGAGACAACTATTCTTAGGTAAAGGTGGATTTATGATCTAAACTCAGATGGTCATTAGTCTCAAAACTGAATAGAGTACTAAGTGCAGAGGCATATTATCATTGTATTATCATATTAGCCCGAGACACATCAGCTTCAACAGATTGCTCAGGAAAAACGTGTATTTGGCACATTCACAGCTTGTTCTAACATTTCAAGGTTACAGAGCAAACTATGATGACATATTTGTTTTAAGCTTCAATAAATGGCGTTGCTTATGTTTGACGTCTCTGGTATTTTATTTTTCCAGGGCAAGAAGATTCCTAAGATGGAATTTCCAGGGGGAAAAAAAAAAAAAAAAGAAAGAAAAAAAAAGCTTAGAAAATGTATTTTCCAAGGACTCCCCATCATTGAGTTATTTTGTTGTTTGATACTCTAACATAAAAGAGCTCACTTAAAAGGGTGAGGGGGAAAAGTAGAAGACTAAGGCATGGTGCTAAGTAAAAATATACACTAATAGGCTTAGTCATTTCTTATGAAACAGATGAAATCTTACCACTGCACCAAACCTTTTCAGCTCTCGAGTTTTAGGTGCTGCTGATGCTTTTGCCCAGAAACAATCACAGTAGCCCTGTACCCTGACATGCTGCCCAGTAGCACAGGCATTGCTGTTAGGTTTGGGTAGGGACCACCATTAGTTTGCACTGACTGTTTTGGGGAGGCAGTCTTCTGCCAGACCTTTGGAGTCACCTCTGCCTCTGTCATGTTACAGGCATGTGAGAAGATGGTCCTTGGTAGCTGCCTGGATTTAGTGAATCAGAGGCTTTGACTGGGTCTGAGACATCATAGAATAAATCATAGAATCACTGAATGGTTTTGGTTGGAAGGAAACTAAAAGGAAAGGAAACTTAAAGGAAGGAAACTTTTTTCTGCCCCCCTGCCATAGGCAGGCACAGCTTTCACTAGACTAGGTTGCTCAGAGCCTCATCCAACCTGGCCATGAACACTTCCAGGGATGGGACATCCACAGCTTCTCTGTACTTCTCTTGAATTTTTTTAGGTTTCATTTCACCTTTCCTCATAGGAGAGGTTCTCCATCCCTCCAATCAACTTGGTGGCCTCCTCGGGCCTCACTTCAACAGGTCCATGTCTTTCTTGTACTGGGACCCCAGAGCTGGATTCAGTGCAGTGTGGGGTCACACCAGCATGGAGTAGAGGGTCAGAATCCCCTCCCTCACCTGCTGCCCACCCTGCTTTGGATGCAGCTCAGGACAGGATTGGCTTTCTGGGCTGTGAGTGCACATGGAGGGGTCATGTCCAGCCTTTCACCTACCAGCACTCCCAAGTCCTTCTCAGCAGGGCTGCTCTTGATCTGTTCATCTACCAACCTGGATTGGGGTTGCCCCCAGGGGCAGCATCTCGCACTTGGTCTTGTTAAACCACTTGTGATTCCCATATGCCCATTCCTCAAGCTTGTCCAGGTCCCTCTGGATATCATCCTGTCCTTCAGGTGTGTCAACAGCACCATTAAGCTTGGTGTCATCTGAAAATGCTCAGGCTGCACTCTTTCCCTTTGATTTGGTGTATCCCTGACTGTGGAGAACAGCAGTGGGGCTCGTGAAGGCTGATGAGTCAAAAAGACCTACCCCAAAGCCTGGTCTTTGAGAGGCTGCAAACTGATTTCCCTTCAGATTTGAAGGGGAAGGGGTTGAGCTCAGGCTCATAATTAATAGGCCAATACATTTCCCAATGAACAGAGCAAAACACATATTTTAAGAGTCCTATTATGCCATAAAGGCAGAACAGAAAGAACAGAAACCCTGAACTTTCTCTTGTGTAGTGTGAAACCTCAATAATTGAAAGAAGGGGTGAACGTTGGATACTGAACACGTAAAGGTTGTCTTGGATTTGCATAAGTGCTATCTGCAAGCAAAAGAGACCATTCATTCTCTGTGCACAGAGGGTGGTGGAAGCTGAAAACAAGAAAGGGCTTTATATGGTGTCAAGCCAATTCCCTGTAAGTGATGAGGGAAGTCCCAAACAGGTGAAGGTCTCTCACCATGTGAGCATTTCAGGGCAGACTGTGGCTTTACTGTAACCCTTGGGATGTGAACAGGTGTCCAGAGCTGCCCTTTCAATGCCAAATCTGTGGTCCTGTTTTTTGGGCTGCCTGGCAAAGGGCACTGCTGTTTGCTATAGTGCTGGTAATAGGGAAAGCTCCCACTGGGAACACTGCTGTAGTGGAGTGATGGCAAATGTGGCATTAATGGGAAACTGGTGTAAGGAAAGCTCCAGTGTGGGGAAGCTGATTAATGAAGCAGCAGAGAGGGAATGCTTTATTACAAACCCATGAGGACTTGCTGTGAAGAGAAGTGCAGTGAAGCTTCAAGCTCCCCACATGCTTATTTACACAGATGGAAGGCATGGAGATATTATGTTTCCTATTTATTGTCCCATATCTTATATGTGTTTCATATGATAGCTGAACTAATGAAACTTGAGATTAAATTACTGTGTTCACTTGGAAGTATATTTCTTGGTTGTTTGGCTCTGGAAATAAAAATATGCTGTCCTGCTATAAATACATGGGAGCATGAATCACATTCATAACAAACTGCTGGATGATAAAATTACTGTCCTTTGGTGCAACACCTACTATCTGAAAGCTAATTGAATGGTGTTTTTCTCCAGAGGAAAGCTGCAAA